TATCATCATTTTAACAAAAAACAATGCATAAAAAAGAGTAGGCATAAAAATTTAAAGTATAAGCAACCGACAAACAAGAATGGCAATTTCTTTTTTTTTTTTTGTTTTTCTCCGGTACCGGGAACTGAACTCACAACCTTGCACTTGCCAGGCAGGCGCTTTGCCACTGAGCTAAATCCCCAGCCCCAAGAATGGCAATTTCTGATTATCTAAATGAGTCACAATCCAGAATCCATGAAACAAAAGCAAACTCTTATCTCTTTCTAATTATCTTGGTGGGACCTCCAAACGATATAGAGAAATAAATGTACCTCCCAAACAGCTAGATGTCAGATACACTGAGTTTGTATTCCCCAAACAGAAGAATGAATTCTAAGGAACAATGGAGGTTACGAGTAGGAAATATTTATTAGGGCTGTTTCTTTTATCCATAGGTAATTTAGAAGTGTTATGTAATTATTGGTTGCACTTTATCAGAGAACACAGTTCATATAGTGTCAATTCTGTTGAATTTGTTAGGTTTTGTTTTATAACCCAGAATACAGTAATTGTTGTGTATGTACTAGAAATAAAAGTGTATTCTGTTGGTGTTGAATGTCCTATAAATACTAGGCCAAGTTGTTTGTTCCTATTGTTCAGATTTTCGTATCCTTTCTGATTTTCTTCTGTTTTATCTATTACTGAAAAGGGAATGTTAAAGTCTACACTTATAGTCGTGGACTGTCTATCTCTGCTTAACTGTCTGTCAGTTTTGAAGCTCTGTCATCGCATTCCTATACATTTAAAACTGTTGTGTGTGTGTGTTTTTTTAACTGATCTTCTTATGAATATGTAATTATCTCTTTTTAACCCTGGTACTTTTCTCTGCTCTGAAGCCTATTTTGTTTGAAATAAAAATAGCCACTTCAGCATTCTTTTGAGACATGTTTCCATGGTCTGTTTTTTCCCATCCTCCTTCCTTTAGCCTACCTATATCATTTATTTGAAGCATCTAGTAACCAGCCTAAACTCAGTTTACTTTGTTGGGTATTTAAAGTGATTCTCATAACCTGCCTTTTAAATGATGGGTAAAACTTTTTTTAACCTTCACTTGTAAGTTTAGATTAATGTCTACAATTTTGTTTGTTCTCTGAGGTTACTTTGCCCAATTTCTAGATTTTTTAAAAAATCCTGTTTTTTTTTACTTGCCTTCTTTTTTTTATTAGTCCATCTTATCTTATGTCTTCCAATTGTTGACTGAATTTCTTGGAACAGTTCTTTTAGTAGTTACTCTAGGAATTCCAAAACACGTACTCAGCTTTCTAGTCTACTTAGAACTGGTACTCACCACTTCAGTGGGAATGTGGAAACACATGTAGGTCCCTTTACCTGCCTTATCAGAGTTATGTTATATATTATACCTACATTGAACTTACATACATTGAAAGATCACTGGATGTTACAATTTTTTAATTTCAACTGCCAGACATGTTTGAAAGAACTCAAGAGAAGAAGAGTCTACTATATCCACCCAGATATTTGCTATCCCTTCTTTTACCATTGATTTTTCAAGTTACATTCTGGTATCATTTCCCTTTTATCTGAAGATATTTAACAATGCTTTTACAACAGGTATGCTGGCTGCAAATTCTCTTCCTTTCCTTTATTTGAATATGGCATTATTTCAGTTTCATTCCTAAGGAACATTTTCCCTGAAAAGAGAATTTTGGGTGCTCGGTTCTTTTATTTTAGCACTTTGTAAATGCTATGCTGGTTCCTCCTTCACACTATGGTTTCTGGTAAGAAATCTGCAGTCCTATGAATTACTGTTCCTTCCAGGCAATAAACCGTTGTTTCTGGTTGCTTCTACAATTTTTCCTTTATCTTTAGTTTTCAGCAGAGTGATAACGTTATACAGGCATGTATTTCTTTGGTTTAATCTATTTGAGGCCTCCTTTGCTTCTTGAATCTCTATGCCTTTCGCTAGAGTTGGGAAGTGTTCAGCATTATTCTTTAAATTTTTTTAACACTATACTTTTTCCTTTTCTTCTGGAACTCTGACACAAAAGTTAGACTCTGTTATTTGTTCCCAAAGCTCTGTTCATTTTTTCTTATCTTTCTTCCCTATTTTCTAGTTGGGTACTTTCAGTTATTTTAATTTTCAGTGTTAAAATTTCCATTTGTTTTTTTCTTTAGAACTTCTAGTACTTTGTTGATACTTTCCACTTTAACATTTGTGTCAAGAATGTTTGTGACTGCTTGCTCAGGCACACTTGTAAAAGCTGCTTAAAGTTCTTCTCAGACCATCCCAACATCTATGTCATCTTATCATTGGCTTTGTCCATGTAAGTTGATACTTGCAAAGTTTTTCACTTGTCCAGTAATTTTGGATTCTATTCTGAACAGTTTGAATGAAATGATGAAATCTTGAGTGTTGTTGGTATATAACACAGTCCTATAGCAAATGTTGGTATTTTTGCTTTAGCAGCCAAGTCACTTGGTCAGGTGCAGACTGCCTTCTCTGTCTCTGGGCTGTGGTTACAAGTTGGCTCAGTTTTCAATGCTTTTGCAGGACTAATATGACCTGAAGCTGGTGTATGTCCTTTACAGGCCAGTCCAGAACCTGCATAGGACTTATTGTTACCTCAATAAACCTTCTCCAAGGCTTTTATTGGCTAATTTGGATCAATTCTATCCACTCACAGGTTGGGGGTGTACCCAGAAGTTCAGTTTGATGGGGCTGCTTCCAACAATTCCTCCCTTTTTTGTGTCCTCCCTGGTATTTCCTGGTTCCTTCAGACTTCCTGCTCTGAACCTCTGGCCAGAAACCACTCAATTCCATGACTGTGCCAAGCAGGGTCGCGCAGTGAAAGAAACAGGAAAAAAGCTACAGGCTTACAGTCTGCTCTTAGGCCTTGTGTACCATCAATAGAGAAGGCCCTCTCTCACATGGGCCTCCCTCAGGCTCTGGTTACCTCCTGCTGCCTACTGACTTATCTACAGGCTAGTGCAGAGACGGGCAGCTCTCAAGAAGGAGATCTGTAAGCTTTAGGAGTTTCCTTTCCTGACTTGTGAGCTGGAACTAGAAGATCTCTCCTGGAACTCTCCCTGTGGGCATCACAGAGCTCAAATCTGGTCCAAAGGCTTCACTAGGCTCAGGCTGGGACACACTGGAAGATGATGTGCTAAACTCACTGCTGGCTCGGTGAAACTTTGAATTCTGGTTGCTTCCCTCATCTTCCTGCTGCTAATATTTTTCTGAGTATTCAGCTGTGTGACACTTCTTCCAGGACTTATAATGCAGTTTAGTGGTGACAAAGGCTGATGTGTGAACTTACTCCATCTTATCCAAAACCCAGCTCTCTGTCTAGTGCTTGTTCCACTATATGGCCAATATTATACTAAAAAACCTGTGTGTATGTCACATGAAACCCAGAACAATGTTCCCTCCCTGTAGAAAGGACTTCTGCACTCCTGGCTGGAGAGGGGCTAAGAAACCTTGGTGTAGGCCTGTCTCCTCCAAGGGATACTGCCTGCCTCTGTGCACAGGTTTAGCAGGGTCATCCTCAAGTCCCTGGACTCTATACCCCTTCTCTCTGCCAGTGAGGCAGCTGAACTTATACTCAGCCTCTCCTGTAGAAATGGGAAATGCCCCCAGAAGCAAGGGGTACAGATTGAGATTCTATCCTCAGTCTCTGTCCTGAGGCATGATAATTCTCCACTATCTTCAGATTGCCCACACCTTTAAGCAGGTGATTCTTTTAACCCGTAGAACCTGTACTCATCCTCAGTGGGTGCTTAATCCAGGTAACACACCTGCCACCGCTTTCTTTCCTTCTTTTTCCTTTCTTATTGTTTTTTTCTCCCTCTCTCCTTTCACAGACAAAGCAACAGGCTGTGAAAGGTTTCCAGAGGTCACCTGGCCTGTAGGTGTAGGATGAGTTTAAGCCTTTGCTTTTACCTTCCTACTATGCTGCCCCTTAAACCCTATGACACACAAAAATTTATCTATTTTTAAAGGGACTCTTCTTTTTTTGTTGTTGTTTTTTTCCGGTACCGGGAATCGAACTCACGACCTTGCACTTGCCAGGCAGGTGCTGTGCTGCTGAGCTAAATCCCCAGCCCCAAAAGGGACTCTTCTTGTACTTGTTTCTTGACACACTACAATCAAGAGGTAATATATCAACACATTCTCATTTTAAAAGTGAGTCTTTCAGATAGGGTGCTGGTTCACAATTTCTCAGTGCAGCCTGGGCTCACGCCCTTGACCAGAAAGTACCTCGCCTGGGTGTGCAGCTTCGAGGGGTTTTACTACGAGCCTGACCTTAACCTTTCCCCCAGGGTACTACATCATCAAAAGTACAATGCAGGTCACTGCAAACACAAGATAGGAAATCAAAATTAATTCATAAATATTTTTTGTAAGTATATCATAATGTTAGGCCAAGTTACTTAAGTAGTAACTTTTCCTGCCAAGTGATAGGGAAAGTAAACCTTATATTGGCTCAAATGACAATTTTCAGCCTCTCAAAGAACCATAAAAATCAAGACTTAATCAACTGCCCAGGGTGAGCGTACTGTCATCTGTGTGGACACATGCAGGCGCAGGTGCTCATCAGTCATACAGGCTGCACAATGTAGATGGTTTAAAATCAGGAGGTCTCAGGACTGAAAGGGGTTTTGGCATCCCACACCCATCCAAAGCAGCCCCCACAGGACAGGTTCACCACAGGTACACTGCCAAGTAGAAAGGCCAAGGTGCAAGAGTCCCTAGGTAGGCAGAAGAACACAGACTCATCAACTCACATGCACCTCCCGTATATGGTGACTGCAGCCATTGCTGCCTTGACTTGATTGACCCACTGGAAAATAGAGACAGGGACACAGCCCCAGAGGCCGCCCTGAGTTCAAAGTGTCAGTGTGAGACAGGACTGGGGCCCCAGGGCACATCACAAAGGGATGCACAGAAGCCCGCGGAGAGAAGGGACTGGGTGGGACGTGGAGGGCTCTGGTGCTCCTACCTTGGCTGGCTTCTGGTTTCAAGGAGCTTACAGGAAGTGGGGGTGATGATTCAGGGACATCGGCTGCTGGGTGTTCAGCCACCGGGCAGATGATAAACCACCTCTTCCCTGTGTGCAGCACTGAGAAGCAGGACATAAACAGCATGCTGAGAGGGAGCGAGTGTCTCTAGACTGGGAGAGTCCTGCCACTGCACCAGGCCTGCACAGGGCCTCCTGGGAACTTGTTTGTACCTATGAGGTTTTCTTCAGAAGAGTGTGGGCAGGGAAGCCATGTTCCCACCATAACCCTAAATTGTGACCCTCTGGACACAGGTGGTCCCCATGTCCCCAGGGAGGGGCTCCCATCTGCTCTTCTCTATTGCAGCGATGAGGGGTGGACAGCTAGCCCAACAGCATCTCCCTGGCATCCCAGGACTCTCGGGAGTGCCCAGCTTGGGCATAGTTCCTGGGATGTCTGTGAAACCAGCCATTGAGGCAGGGATGCCAGTGAGGGGAAGCCCTTGTTCTCCAGGCTGTGTACAAGGGGGGCTTCTATCAAATACTGGCTGCAGAACAGAGGCAGGACATGGGGGAAATGGCTCTTCCCTGAGGTGTGGCACCTGCTGTGACAGGGGTGCCAGAAGCAGGTGGGGCAGACTCACCATTCTGCTGGTACACAGGAGCATTTGCTGGGGACTGTCTGCCCTCCTAGAGGAGAGAGAAGGATGGGAAGTCAGTGCAGACTCCACAGTCCATCCACAGCTTTGTGCCACTACCCCTTCTCCCCAGGAACCTGGGTTCTCACCTCCCCCTCCACCAGGCCACAGGTGCCCAGAGGCGGCGGACTGGCCCCCGCATCGGAGCCCCGGTCAGCGTCAGTGTCCTCGCTGAGCATGTCCTCTGCTTTGTCCATAACATCCTTCATCTGCTCGATGAACGTCTCGCGCTCAGCCGGCAGGATGAAGTCGTGTTCCACCTACAAGGGGATGTGGGCGGCTGGTGACAACCTGCCACAGGCCGCAGCTGTGCTAGGGCTCTATCAGGAATGTAGGGATCTCCATCCTGTCCTAGGCCCCAGAAGACAGTGCACAGGGGCCCCACAAGAGAACATTCCTGGGGCAGACAAGAGTGGCTGAAACAGGTGAAGGCCACCTGGAGAGGCAGCCCATACAGCACTGCCCTGTCCTGAGCCACAGCTGATCAGACCCTCCAGCCACCTGCGGGCAGGGTGTGGATGCACAGAACCGAGGGGCTGAGACCGGGGTCCGCGAGGGGAGCGCAGGGGGAGGCGACCTTGGCACACACATCGAGCAGCCTGAGAGGTAAGAAGGCAGGTTTGTGCAGGGGCAGGATGAGTCCTCAGGGATAGTAAAGCTATGTGAGGCAGCCAGTGGCGGCTTCTCCACACCCAGCCTGTGTCAGACCTTCAGGCTTGGCCCAGGCACACGGGAAGGCAGGGCTTGGTGTCCAGTGAGCAGCCTTGCTGGGCCACCCAGCATCTCCCACTTCCCATCGGCGACTCTGGGAGTTTACTGCCTAGACTCTCAGGTTGGCAGTCAGCCAGTTCAAGGTACAGGCTCTGTCCAGGAGCCCACGCCTATGCCCCCCAGAGCATCTTAAAACCAGCTTTCCTTCCACTCCTCATCCTCCACTGAACTTCCCCCCTAGCCCCAGGGCTCTTCTCAGAGCAGAGTCCAGACAGCACATCTCCAAAGTCAGTCAGGTTGGGCCAGGGTGGCCTGATGCTTGGCCACAGAGGCTGCTTGGGCACACATCCAGGTCCTGGCCTTGCTCTTGTCCCACCATGCAGCACTGCCAGTGCCTCAGCCTCTCCCTCTGCATCTCAGACCCTGACGTCCACACAGGTGGCCGTCTCTCCTTAGTGCAGCATCCACACACAGCAGCGTCCCCTCACACCAACTAAGGTCAAGGGTTCTTCAGTCCATGTGACCCACCAGCACCTCACAGGCACACTGTCCACACATAAGGTGACTATCTTCCACCCCTCGCCCAGGCCCTGGCAAATGGCAGGAGGGCAGAAGGAGGTCCATGACAGCCTGGACACTGCAGCTTCTGGACCAGGACACAGTCACTGCCCCAACTCTCACATGAGCACACAGTCCCCCAGTGCTTAGTGTGCTCTGCCATGTGCCTGGCCACTTAGGCAGATGGGATGTGGGGCATTGCAGAAAACCATACAAAGACCTCTGGGGACAGATGTCCACTTGCCTAGTGGGGTCCTCTCCGCCCCTTTGGCCCTTGCCTCAGGCACCCATCTGTCCAGACCCCTTTAGGGATGGGTCCATCTGCCCCTCGTAAGCTGGCTGCAGAGTACGTGGAGCCCCACATACTCTCAGAGAAGGAGCTGGCTAACACCGGCGTCCACAACTCACCGGGTGGGGAAGTGCAGCGTGGGAGAGCTACACTGTGTAAGGGGAGTGTGCCCGAGCCACCTGAGAGCAGCCGGGCGCAACGCTGGATGCTGTGTCTAAGAACACGTGCAGCATTCCAACACCACGCAACACTGAATCACAGCCCCTGAGTTCTTCCTGCCAAGTTTTTATTTCTTTTTAAAGAAATTAGAATTAGTTTCAAACCAACATAAAGAAAAACCTAAAAATATAGGGTGCAGGTATTACCTGGAATTAATGCCAAGTTAATCCAAACACCCATGGTTCCTCCTGTACTGCAGGGTTGGCAAGGGGGCCTGTGAAAAGTAACAAACCCAAAGCCCTGGCAAACCACCAGGGACAGCGCACTGAGAAGCCCGGGCCTCACACCAGGAGGGCTCCAGGAGAGGAGCTTGTCTGAACAGCATCCCACTCTGCCAGCCAACACCCACCCTTCCCCTCCAGCTCCCTCTGCCTCTGCTGCTGGGGCAGGAATGGGCGTGAGGAAGAGGGCACACGCAGGCAGCGCGACAAACCAAATTTGTATGTATTTTTACTGTGCCAACCTGCAAAGGCATAAAAGATGACTTCGCTTAAAAATGCCCCATTCAAACCCATCAATCGGCGCATCAAAGACAAAGGAACAAAAAGAGAGGGGAAGCAGAGTGGTGAGTGAGAGAAAGAAGAGAAGAGGCCAAAGTTTACAAAACTCACCACTAAATAATCATCGCTGTACAGGGACATGGGTATGTGTGTAAAGGTGCTAAAAACGGGCTGGGGATTTAGCTCAGCGGCAAAAGCGCCTGCCTGGCAAGCGCAAGGTCGTGAGTTCGGTTCCCGGTACCGGAGAAAAAAAAAAAAAAGGTGCTAAAAACAAGGGGATGTGGACACACAACCGTACAGTCGTGGTGCTGGGCAGAGGGCAGCAGGGGAACCTACAGGATCGGTGGGCAGGGTGGCAGGCAGAGGCCAAGGAATTACCTCACAGGCATCTGCTCTATTATAGTTCCTGACATGTGATACACACACAAGCGCACAGAAAGTAATGCAAGGTACACGCTAAAAACTCAGGGAGATGAGGGAAGAGATGCTGTAGTTTCACAGGCTCAGTGGCCACACGAGCAGCCAGCCATTTGCTGCTAGCAAAGGTCCCTGGCCCAACCCTAGCCGGGCATCTCCAACCTCTCCTCTGCAGGTCTCAACCCCAGCTCTCTCCTGCCCTCTGCCTAACCCATCTCTGGCAAGAATCCTGCTAAGTCAGTTTACCGAGAATCCCCCAGGTGCCACATCTAGTCCAGCTCCTCAGCCCTTTGACATCAGAGCCTCTGTTCTGCCCTCAGGGAGGATCCTCTTCTGTGGGCTTAACAGTGCATTCCACTCCACTACGGAGACTCCAATGTCACTTCTGGAAGACACCTGAGTAACAGCTATGTCAGGGGGTAGCTGGAGGGCAGAGCTGCCCGGAAACACCACTGCAGGTCCACGCAGGTCCACTCCCAGCAGGAGAGGGTGAGCAGCCCAGCTCACATCCTGGATAAGAGTGTGCAGGGTGTGGGGCACACGGCGCAGATCCTCCACAATCCGACCATCCTGCAGGTTCAGTACTCTGATGTTTCCTTAGTCATCTTCCACCCACACACATGCCTGGCCTGTTCCTGGGCTGTAAGCCACACTCCGCACCCTGCCCTATCCCTGCTGCCTCTGCTGTGCTGGAATTAATGCCAAGTTAATCCAAACACCCTTGCATAAAGTCTTCCCACCCCCTCCACAGTTCAGAATCATTTCTTCTTTAACACCGCAGGGACCATGCCCTGCACCATGGCTCCAGAACAGCTTATTGAAGGAATCTGTGCAGCAGACACGGAGGCATGGAATTGTCCCAGGGATAAACACCTGGGGCTTCCCTGTGAAACTCACATCAGAATTTAAGGTAGCTGGGAGCCAGGGCGGCTGGGGACACAGGCCAAGGTGCAGCTTTCTGCTGACTCCAGACCTGGGCTATTGAACACAGCAGCCACTATCCACACGGGACAGTGGTAAATCACTAAACTACCAACTTAAACTAAGTTGTATATTCTGTTCCCTAGTCATCTAGCTCTACTCACTGCATGTGGTGCCCTGTGGGGAAAAGGGCAACAGCACTAGCCAGCAACACGAGCTGCTTCTTGAGGACACAGCTTCCTGACCTCCCCTCACAGTCACCAATGTGTACAAGGAGTGTTCTCCTGTGAGGTGGTCACAGATGAGCCGGGATGTGGTGAGTCCACCCCACTGTGTCTTTGTGTGCTTTCAGCTAGACAGTTTCTGAAGCCAAAGACCCCTGCTTCTACCAAGGCCAGGTGCTGGGGACCCACCAATATTCCCAAGAAGCACAGGCATGGGACAGAGGTTAAGTTCACAAATGACAAGGTATCTGTGGCACAGTCTGCACAGGCAGGGAAGGGCATCTCTGGGCAGAGGTGTAGCAGAGCTGGGGAATGGGGTCAGAAGCACTGGGCTTGGGTTTGCACTACCACTGCGAGGCCAACAGGTTGTTATGGTGTGGATCTAAAGTATGTCCCGAAAGCCTCGTGTACTTAGAAGCGACTGGACTGTGGGATGCTATACTCATGAGCGGGCTCATCCACTGAGGATTACAGTAGCTGAACACCTTGTTAGAAGGTGTGGCCTGATTGTGTGCTTGACCTGGAAAGATGTATTCTTGTCCCTGTCTCCTCCATGCTCTCTGTGCTTCTCAGATGCCCTCATTGAGCAGCTTTGCCCCGCCATCCCTTTCTACCATCCTTGGAGACAGCCACTCCTGGGCCGAATCCTCAAAAACAGTGAGCCAAAATAAACTTCTCCTCTGAGTTGTGGGTCTTGGGCATTTTGCCCCAGTGACAGCGAACTGACTAATACAGGGGCTCTAAGCAGAACCATAGGACATTAGCAGCCGAGGATGCTGTCTAGCTTTGCTCATGTGTGTCACACACCTGCACACTCCTCTTGTTCTGAGGCACAGGGCACACCATGGTGGGGCTAATTATGAACACATCCCTCAAGTTGCCCTCAGGCAGCTGGGAGGTTTACATGAAGTCAGTGCTCCCACCGCAGACCCAAACACCCCCATCCAGGCCTTGCTCCACATGCCCACCCCAGCATGTGCCCAGGACACAAGGAGAAAGCTCCCTTACCCACCAGGCCCAGCCTCACCATGTAAGTAGCAATCTCGTCAGGCGCGTCCCCATCCAAGTCAAACTTGAAGGTCACCATCTTGTGGTTGTGTGTCTCCAGCTGGCATTCCACCATCTTGTCCCCTGTGTTGCACACCTACATGAAAGGGACGGTCAGATCAAGGAAGTCTCTGCACCCCCTGTGCCCCGACCCTAGCAGCCACTCACATTCAGGATGGTGAGCCGGGGCCGGCTAGTCCTCTCCTGCCGGGAGCGGGCACGCGTGGACCTGCGGTGGTGTCTCCGGGCGGCCCTGCCCTCCAGCCTGCCCCCTCCAAAGGTGCCTTCACAGCTATCACTTAGTTCTTTCCCAGAAGTGACATCAGAGCCGCCATAGCTAAGAAAACCAAGAATGTGAACAGCACCCATAGATGACCAGCAGGTCTACTATGGACAACCCAGCCTGAGGCATTAAAGCCTCTGGGCCCTGAAGCCATGACCTGCGAAGCCAGCCACCAGGTGGGAGGGGACCCTAGACTCCCTTTCTCCCTGTAAGACCTGTCCTGGGTGGCATGGGGGCCATGCAGGAATGCAGGCTTTCAGTTACTGGCTGTGTGGCCTCAGCCCTGTCAGCTTCCTGACCCGTGACTTAGGTCTCATGCCTCAGTTTCCCCAGCTGTGCAACAGGAACAGGAACAAAGCCATTCTGGGCTGCTGGGAGGACTGCAGCAGAGCCTGCAAAGTGTCCCAGTTCCCATGGCTACTTCCCACAATCACTTAGTGAAGACCAGGCTGCCTCCCAGACCACAGGGCAAAGCAGCCTGGAGCCCCGGCCTAGGCTGGACCTGGCTCACAGCTCCAGGCAAGAGTCTCTGCGATAGTCTCTCCCTTCCGCAGAGTCCCAGGCACACAGACCCAGAACACAGCCAGGCGGCTCCAGCAATGAGGGCTCAACCTTGGGAGAAGGTCCCTGAGGCTCTCCAGGTGAGGTCTGGAAAATGGGTGGCACTTGTTAAGAGCCCTACGGGCATCCAGGCAAACAGGCAGGATCTGAGCGAAGCAGCAGCGGGGGCTAGGCCTGGACCTGCGCCTCCCACCCACATCCCTCGAGGTCAGGCTTGGCCAGTACCTCTCACAGCTCTGCGGGAGGCCGGGAGGCTTGTCCTGCGAGGCCTGCTCCTGAAATAAAAACCAGAGTACAGAGGACGGTCACACGCTCCCACCTCCCTGCAGCACAACAGCGGTACACGGGTCTTCCCTCACCACCTCTGCAGCAGCTGCTCTCTTCTGCCTGCAGCCAGGGGGGCACCGCACACCGAGGCTTTCATTTTGTTCAAAGGCTTAGAGCCAAGCAGATTCCTAAAAGCTGAGGGTTGCTTCCTTTCCAAAACTGTTAACCCACTTTGATCATCCCTAAAAGAGGACTCATGGGTTTTATGAAAAAGGTTTTCATAGGCTTTTGCTTCCTCTCCAAGGGAAAACATCCTCTAAAGCCATTTATAAAACTCTTGCTCTCCATCTTCCTGTGGGCTTACAGTAAAAGAAAGCACCATCTACAAGACAGGGCTGGATGGCTGTCCTGGAGCACAAGCTACCTCTTTGGAGCCCCCTGACCTCTAGAGCTGAGACCCAAGGTCAGAATGCAGACCCACAGAGCCAGGGGACAAGAGCACACACCTCTTGTGCAGGTTCCACCGTCACCTGGACCGCTGGGCAGGAGCCAGGAATCAGGGGTCCAGCAGGCAGTGGTGGGTTTGCTGGCGGCAGCAGTGTGCTGGTCTGGGCGGGCACACTCTGAGGTGCTGCCACCACTGTGGAGGACAGGGAGCTGGGGAACTTAGGCAGCAGCTCAGGGGCACCAGGCGGCAGCATGTCTGGCAGAGGTGGGGAGAGGACAGCAGGCGGCAGGGGGACAGCAGGGACCGGAGCAGCAACATCCACAGTGTACGGAGGTGGGTGGCCCAGCAGGACCTGGGGCACAAGGGACAGGATGTAGGTTGGACACTATAGGCGGGGGAGACACCTGCACTGAGAGGGGCCAAGCGCAGGCACATCCATGAGTACACGAGGCTGGGAGGCAAAACAACATCCCCCACAAAACCGTGTGCTCCCTCAGGCCATGTCTGGCATACAGATGTGGCATAAGCAAATGGGGATGAGCATCCCCAATCGCTTTCCCTACAAGGGATCCGTGTAGGAATCCCCAGACGCAGACTGCACTTAAAAACTAGCTAAACCCAGGTGACAAATCAGATGGTAACACACACTTAGTATCCAACCCTGCTCCACTCACCCCAGGGGTCTTCAACATCTTGCCTTGGCCTCCTGGTCAGTTCCCAGCACTCAATGGCTGTCCCTGGTCCCCAGAGAACCTGCAAGCACTCACTGACATCTGCCACCCCACGCCCCCACATAGTGGCCTGCAGCTCAAGCTGGCACCCCACTGTGCTGGGTGCTCCAAAAGCTCCACAGGGCTGAGGGAGGATGAGCAAGGAAGAAGGGCCCATGGGTTTCACAGCACCAGGATCATCGTCCTCTGTCCCACTTGGGACAACCTCCCACAGGAGGCTGAAAATTCAGAGCGAGAGACCTGAACCTCCAAAATCAGGAACCACATCCCAGCCACAGAGCTGTTGGAGTGAAGCAAGGCTGGAGACGCCTCAGGAGGGATGCCCACGGGGAAGGTGCTCAGGTGGGAACCACGTGGGTGGGGCTTTCCATGCCGAGGACTGCAAGGTGAGGGGATTCCCAGGTGGGAGGCGCCCACATCAGCTCTTCCCCTCACTCAGATTTGAACAGAAAACCCTGACCCCAGGAGGCCTCCCATGGCAGGCATGTAGGCAGCCCACGCGCCACAGGAGTTCCTTACGGTCTGCCAGCTCAGTGTCCGCATTCAGCACCAGGACAGACCCCAGGTCCCATGACTCCCTTCCAGCTGGCAGCCCCTCACTCTGCCTCATTTCCTCTGTTAAGATGCGTTTTTGCCTTGCTCTAACAAGATGCAGGAGGGCCCAGCCCCAGATACACACGAGCTCTGGGCCATGTGAGCAGCAGCTGCCCACCTCTGACCATTGAAGGGGCAGCAGATGCTCCATGCTGGCTGCAGCCTCGCCCCTCAGCCTCCAACTCATCTCTTCAGAAGACACCACAGGGCAGAGCTGCCCCTCACCCAGCTCCAACCTGCCACTCGGTCCAGATGCCAAGCGGGAGTCCTGGCCTCATGAAGGAAGCAACCCAGGAGTCCCTCCACCCTGGGTCCTGTGGGTCTCCAGGCACTACGAAGAAGATCCAGGTCCTGACAGCAGCTTACCTGGCTCCCTGTGGCGGTAGCAGCTGGAGCCGCTTGCTCGGGCAAGTGGGAAACACCAGGCATGAGGGGCTGAGGAGGTGCAGGCGTGGGCACAGGTGGCAGTGTGGGTACAGGCGGCACTGTGGGCATGGATGGTACCGTGGGAACAGGTGGTATAGGCTGTGGAGGGGTGGCCCGTAAGCTCTGCACTGTGTGGTGGGGGGAAGGTGGGATGTCCGCGGGCGCCATCTGTGGGAAAGCTGCCGGGTATACTGGCTGCGCTGGGAGCTGGGCTGGGAGCTGGGCTACACCAGGATGGATGGACAGGGCAGCCATGCCCTGCGGGGCCACGGCCAGCAGAGGGATGGTGGCTGGTGCATTTGGCACGATGGTCTGGCAGGGCATGGCCAGGGGTGCCCCAGCAGGATGGGGCAGTTTGACTGCTTGCAGAGGCAGGGCAGAGGACGCAGGCAGGGGGGTGGTGAGGCTTGGCAAGATCACAGCAGGAGAGAAATACTGAGGTGGCGGCACAGGGGCCACATTTGCAGCTGGCAGGTCAGTGAGGGCCTGGGGGAGGCCATCGATTGCACCTAGTGGTGTGATGGGGGGAACCACCGGCATTGTAGGCATCTGAAAGAGACACAGTAACATGTCAGTGGCAGCATCCGGGGCCCTGCCTGCGGCCCCTGCACTGTCAGCAGGACAAGCTGGGACGAGGGCAGCACGGCTTGGCCTCTCAGACGCTTTTGTCTAGCTGCCATTGCAGAGATCCCAGGCCCAAACTCAACATAAAGGGAAAGTTCAAGCGTGTGAAACCCCAACTAGAAAAGGAAACTGGCAGCTGGGGCATGACCTGCCTCACAAACCCCTGGGCACAGCATGGAGGGGCCTCGCTGTGTCAGCACCCTAACGGGCACACGGGGGAAGGGCTCTGAAGGCCTCGGAGCTCTGAGCTCCGCAGCCTTTTCATTCACAAGGGCCAGGACTATAGAGCCACAAACAGAGCCCAGGCCCCTGGAATCACATCAGATTGCTGCCCCAATCTGAATTCCAGCTCAAACCTCCCTCCTTCCACGGTTCTCAGTGGTGCATGTCCTCCAGCCTCCCTCCTGTGGCTGAGGTGACACCCCCACAGCATGTCACCGCCCGACAGCAGGAACTCCAGCAGGTCCCCTCCATCTTCTCAGTGATCCACACACCTCCTAAAAACAGCTGGCAACTACCCTTGTAGATTTAGTTCCTCAGCCTGACAGTTTTCTCTAAAACAGAACTTTCTCTTAGGCATCACCTAACGCACACTCTAGGGAAGTACAGTATATGGCAGCAGAAACACATGAACCAATGCTTACTACCTGATACACAACTAAGTACGAAACCACTGATGGGGGAGATGAAGTTTAACCAGACCCCAGCCAACTCTGACCAGGCATCACAAAAAGAAGCCTGGTCAGTGGGCAACAGCTGTCACAAAGACAAACAAATCTTCTGGGAGGGGCACATATACTGCCAGAATACCCCCACAGTCTGTGGGAACCACTGACTTCAGAATAAAGCCCACCTCCTATCCTACCACCAAGGTCAAAGGGCATCCCCATCACTGGGGCCTGGGAGTAGCTATGATCCTGGATGCCATTAGCCTGGGCAACAGTGACCAGCCTTGAGTGTTTTCTGCAGTCACGCTGCCAGGTGCTCCTAGTAATGGACAATATCCCAACAGAAAGACGCCACAAGTCACTTCTGCTGCTCACATCAAGCCCCAGTGGTCAGCCTCTTCTGAGGCCTGCAGTGCCACCCAGCTGGCTATCAGACCTCAGCCTTGGGTAGCTCCATAGGAGGAAGCTGAAGCAAGCCTGACCACTTTCTGTGCCACTTGGTGGCCACACATGAACCCTGTCCTCGACCCTTGACTAAACTTTTTCTCATCCTGGACCCTGAGGACGCATGAGTCCTGGGTGACAGCCACCGTACCTCCTGAGGAGCCCCATTATCAGCCACTCACAGTCCAGAGGCACTGCAGACTGGGCAGAATGCCCACTCTGGTGGGGAGAAAGGCCACAGGCCAGGAGAGGACAGCCCAATTGACAGAGGACCAGATCAGTCCTGGTGCAGGTGGCATGCACAGACCCTATGCTGCTGAGCCCATCTCCCAGCCCCCCACAGACAGCTCTTGTTACCCCCAAAAGGGCAAGCAGGCAGGCCACAGGTCCCCTCCCCAATGGTCAGCCCAGCGGTACCTGCGGAGGGACTTGGGCAAGTGGCTGCAGGGGTGGCTGCGGCATCTGGAGGGGCTTCAGCTGAGTAGGGGCCACCACTTGGGAGGTTGGGGCCAGGTACGGAGGCAGGTGAGGGGGCACTGGCTGGACAGCGCCTAAGGGCTGTGGGGCCAGGACCTGAGGCAGGGCTGGTGGATGGGCCATTGGAGGTGCCTGCAGAAGAGAAAAGGGGGCCTTTGACAGCAGCCCTGCTGAGGCAGGGTCAATCTGTGCACAGATACGACAGAAATGCACTCACACGCTCATATTTGTACTCACTTGCTACAGTCATGTACTTGCACATATTCACACTTACACACTTAGCCTCACAGAAACACACTGGCACATATACACATGTACACTTGCATGACTGCACACTTTGACATACAACACTCATACGTACAACTCCACACTGACAACGCACTCAGGTATATACACAAGATCACTAGAGTCCAGCCAGCCCGGGACAAGGACCAGCAGAGCTCGCGGAAATGTCCTAAGCAGCCCAAAAGCAATGCCTCCTCACCACCACACATACACAAGCCATTCCTGCCCGTATATAATCCCAGGCCCTGAGAATCACGGCATGCATGTGAAGGGGCCCAGAGGCTCCCAGAGGCCCCAGGTAGGGTCCAGCACAGGCACCAGGAGACCACAGCCTAGAGCACAGAGCTGTTCCCCTGCCACAAAAGGAACTGAGGGGCTCGGAGGAGGGGATACACTTACCTGCTGGGCATGGGGCGCTGGATGGCCAGGGCCTGCGGGCACGGGGGCACTGGGCGGTGGCAGCACAGGGGCAAAGCTCATCGTAGGCTCCGGGAAATGCTGCTGGAGGAGTGGAGGGCAGGTAGGGGCTGAGGCACAGCCCACTGACAGGCTGGGCGGCAGACAGTGCCAAAGCCACATTCAGCAACTGCCCTCAGCCCTCTCACCCCCTTGCCAGCCCCCTCCAGGGGACACTGGACTCAGGAAGGTGATGTAGCAGAAGCCAGGTATGGCAGTACTGTGGCATTATTCCTGATACTGGAAAGTCACAGAAAGCTATAGTTCGCAACCAAAGAATATTCTGGAATATCAGCCCCATGGAGTATTACGTAACCAGGAGAGGAAGAGAAATAGGCCTGTTTGTGATTGAGCCTCTGCCATGGAACCTAAAACCACAGGGCCAATGTGTGGGCCCAGCTCAGGGTGCCACCCACAGGCTGGAGCCCAGCAGGGCCTGCTGCTCTCCGCTGGGCCCCAGGGGTTCACCCCCACAGAAACCCTCCCAGAAAGGGCCAGGAGGGTGGACCAAGCCTGCAGCACACCCTCAGGACTCCTCCAGGCCCCACCCCTTTATTTAAGGTATCAATATGGGAGAAGGAGCTTCAGCTCCAGTCTACATCTGTGACCTTCCAACCCAGGCCTCCTTGCGTGTACACTGACAGTAAAGTTGGCTGTATCTTTCCTCAAACAGGCCCTTTCTGCCATTTATCATCATATTTCACTTCATTTTTTTAAATGAACAAAATCAAAAATGCAAACGGGTCCTGCGATGCCAGGCTTTACCTACTTCCCCAAAGGGACTCTCTGGGCCCTTCCCACAGCCCAGCCCTGTGTGGACAGAAGCAGGGAGGAGAGCCTGCAGAGGGACGTGCTGCAGAGGGACGTGCCACAGTGGCAGGAGTGATGGGGAGGACTGGGACCACTGATGTGCCGGCCTGCACTCGGAGGGAGAAGACCAAGCCCACCCATGGGCTAAGGGTCTAAGTCAACCTTGAGGACTTGGCTCTACCACCAGGGTTACCAGCAAATGCTCCACAGCTGAGCACCTGGGACCATGAAGCAAGCAAATGTTTTGCTTTTTCAGTGTTAAAAAAAAGTCAAAAATCAAAAACAATCCCCAGTGTGACACCTTCAGCTTTCCCCAATCTGCCATGCTACTTCCAAGGTCTCTTCACAAAGCCTGAGGCGCTCCTCCCGCCTTCTCCAAATATAGTGGAAATGCCCCCACACTTCGACTTTGTGTCCACAGCTGAGACTTCCACGCTGCTATGACCTGGGGGAGCCCCACCAGGCGCGACCAGACATATCCTCATGAGGCTGGACCGTGGGGTCCAATCCAGGCCTCCACCATTATAACTGATGTGTTTCCATCAACTTGGGCTATTCTCAGAAAGTGTCTCAGGCCCAGATCTGGGCTGGGCAACGTAGCTGTGTGCTGTCACCATCATCACCAGCACCTCCTGCTCAGCTCCCTCACAGCCCCCAAGCCCCAAGTGCCCCTGGGGTGTGCTTCCTGGCAGTGTGTACTTTTTACTTGGTAGGTCTTCACAGGGGCATCAAAGGCTGCTCAGCCCACATTTCCACAGCTCCCAGCAGAACTGGGGCTCTCCATGGGGCTGCTTCTGTGGGTCTCCCCTCTACAAAGTGTGGCCAGGAGCTGCTTACAATTCACATTCACCCTGACCACAGTCAGCACAATGGCGACAGCCCTCACAGACTGAAACCCAGGCCCTCCAACAAGGAGGCCGAGAGCACAGAGCAGGGCATTCTCAGACTCACCGTGGCGGCGGGCTGCTGGAAGGTCCCCAGGGAGGGCAGGCTGTGTGCCAGTCCGGACCCCTCGCTCACCGGAGGGCTGCACATGCATGGTGCCAGGGACGGAGCTGCATCCACAAGGGAACCAAGGACCATGCTTTGCTGGCTGCTCTGTGAGTCTGAGTACACCGTGGAGCCCTGGCCACTGTCGAAGGTGCTGTCCGCTAGGGAGGACAGAGGTAGGACTTAGCAGGAACACCTCCAAATGCTACCCCCCAGCATTGTGCGCAAGCACCTGGTAGTATGTCTGTATTGTCCCTTTTACAAAACAAAGAGTGGACTATTTCCAAAGATTACATGAATAATGCATGCATGCTAATTAAATAATCAACTACTACAGCAGCATGGGGAAGCTGTACCTGGTCCCTGTCCTGACATAAGCTGATGTAGGGTGGCAGAGATGCTAGGGTGGGCATGCCGCACAGTCCCTGCTGTGAAGCAGATACCATACCCCACCCCTACTCCCAACTCACATATGCTGACCTAGCAGGCTTTGATAGCAAGCACTGTTCCAGCCCTTAACGACACAAGGACTCAAGGGGCTGAGGTACTGTCACAATTAAGAAAAGGCCAGCATTATAATTATGGAAGAGGGGCTGGGGATTTAGCTCAGCAGCACAGCGCCTGCCTGGCAAGCACAAGGTCATGAGTTTGATTCCCAGTACCGGAAAAAAACCAAAAAAACAAAAAAATATATAATTATGGAAGAAACTGTTATTGCCAAGTTTTTGTTTAGTTTTGTTTCCTGCAGCCCTGGAAATGGAAGCCAAGACCTCTGCATTGACCTACATCCCCAACTCTTTTCATTTCTTATTTTAAGACAGGGTCTTGCTAACTAAGCTGCCCAGGCAGGATTTATAACTTATGGTCTGCCTGCCTCAGCCTCCCTTAGTGCTGGGACTACAAGCATACACCTAGCTCGACCACATTTTATAAAGGAAGCTTTTGGGACTTTGAGCATTTTTCATATTCACAGTAAAGGTCCTGCACCTGGAGAATAAAGCAACAGACCACATGCCAGGAGGCAGGAGCTGTACACAGGTCAGGCTAGCACAGATGGAATTCTCTGTACATGAGGGGTCCAGACAAGAACGCCATAGCCCACAAGCCTGTCTCACGTGGGAAGACAGCTTGCCAGAGTGGTCATACCAGTGAGAAATGAAATTTGAAAATCTGTCTGAAATGGCACTTTGGGTCACTGCTTCCAGATTTCAAAAGCCACAGAGACATTAGGATTGACCACCTATAGATATCAAGCTATTTTCGCAAGAGACCATGTCTCAGAATGAGGGTTGTGCCACTGGTAATTTAGACAAAGTAAAGGGGAAGGCTCGCTGGTTTTGCATTAAAACAATTTTCCGAGGGACTGATGAGAATTAATTTTAACCTAGAACACATAAGGACTACTAAGGTTTAATTGCGTAGAACCAATTAGACTAGAAACTCTAAGTTTTAATGAGCCAACTGGTCAGTTCCACTTCAACAAACAGGAAGAGGGAGGAGGAGGAGGGAGCCTGTGCTGGGCCCGACAAGGCACAATGCAGCATCACCAAGCACAGGTGCAACATTTTACATTTTGAAACTAATGTGTTTATTGCTTGTTAAATTGGAAATTAATTTGAGAAATCATTCTGGGACTCAAGGAAAAACTGCTGTTGCAGTCTCAGCTGAGTCCGACCAGGACTGCTGGGGGTGGCTAATCGAAGACACAACAGAGAATCACGAACGCTGACATGGTGCTTTATCTTCCAGCGTGAGAACGTGCATCGATTTGCCCATCCTGTCATATGCAGGACCTGCTCAGAGTGTGAGCTGCCTGGCATCTCCATCGGCCCACCCTAAGCACGACACTGTTGGGCATCATGGACGCCCTGCAGCCAGATGGGAGAAGACAGGATGGCACAGAGGTGTACCCACTGTAGAACAGAGAAGGACACAGAGATGTGTGTGTGTGTGTGTTTATGCATGTGCATATGCCCCATATGTGCCTATGCAGGCATATGTGTCTGCATCTACATATGTGTGTGGTTCTGCATGCACATGTGGGGTATGCATGGGTGTGTGCATGTTTACATGTATATATACATGGGTCTGTATGCAGGAGTAAGTGTACATTTGTATCCCTGTGTGCAAACATATGCATGTGTGGATGTCCATGTGTGAGCACGCATCTGCATGTACATGCATATGTCTACCTATGTGTTCACACATATTTTTGTGTCCACATGTGCCTAATGGATCACTTGTGTAGATTATCTATGGAAGGAGAGTTAGCAGACTTGTAGAGAATCTTGCATCTGGGAACACAACTTTGGAATTCTATTCCCTATGACTATGTCACCTAGTTTGAGAAGTGTGGCCATCACCTCTATACATGGGACACAGGTGTCTGGGGCTGATGAAAAGTGGACTCAGGGCTCACCCACACCTGCCACTCACGTCACCATCTGGTTTCTCAGAGTATGTCAAATTTGACCACCAACAGAAAAAATATACTTCTATCTCCTTAACTGGGTCTCCTCAAAGTGAAATAAATGGAGATCATTTATTTTCTGTCCTAAAAATTGTCTAACCAACAATTACAACTCTAAAATGTGTGCTAGTGTGTCAGATATGGAGACTCTTTCCCCACAAAAAATTGTGCTCTTTGATTATTGTTTTAAGGTTCCTCAGAAAATGGAGCAATAATGTAGCAACATTCTTCTCCAAAGCAAACCTGGGCAGATTGGAGTGAAGTAAACAGCAGACAAAGTCTCCTAAGTAAGTCAAGGCTACTTGCTGAGGTATAAATACCTCCTATGAAGAATCTTCAGCTATTTCGATGTTGAAAGATGTACATATTAAATAAATGAACAGAGTTTTAGCCTTTCCACATGAAAAACCTAAAATATTGGCCCAGGCAGGTCACTGGGCTCTGTAATTCTGCTCCAGGCTGAGTCCCCAAGTGGACAAGGCCACATTCCCTGTGCTCAGCTCACAGCTGAACTTTCAGACATTGAGGGCAAACACAGGACACTTTTCTGCCTGTGGTGCAGAAGAAACCAGACCCTCTCATATGGTCTTAGATGAAACCTCCTTCAAAGTGACTCCCAACTCATTAGTAATACCTTGAAAATGATGAACAAAAAGGCTTAGAGGCTTTGCCACTGGAAGGGAGATAATAAAGGAAGAAGATAATCCCAGGGTGAGCGCTCAGCATGCTCAACCATGGTGCAGGCGTCCCCTCACCAGAGCAGATGGTCGTACCTCACCTGGCTTTCATGTTCCCCTGTGAGGTCAGGATTGTTTGTCTCCCAGACAGAATAAAGAGGCATACTTGAAGCCCACAGATTCAGCATGGGGGATAGGGACTGAACCAGCTCTGTCCAACTCTACTGGCTCAAGGCACTTTTGACTCCATCTTACCTAAGAAGCTGGACTCCAACATTTCGTAAACTCTCTGGTCACAGGCCACTGGAGAATGTAGGGAAAGCCCCAGCCCTTTCCCTGGAATGACACTAACCTGCATCTACTATCCACACCCCACAGGATGGACTGTGAGACGGGCCCTAGACTGGCCAAGGAATCAAGACCCAAGTGTCCCAGCACCTGGTGGCCCCATCACCCCAGGATATACCTTCCTTCAAATATGGTGATGTGCCCTGGTGCCAGGAAGGCTGGCAGGAAGTACACCTGGCCCAGGGCACAGAGCCCAGCCAGAGTTCCCGGGCACCACCTGCAGCTGGAAGAGATAACCCAGTGTGTGAGGACAGCTCAGAGCTCATGATGCCACACTCAAGCTGCCACTGTGTCAACCTGGCCCTCCTTACAAAATATTCTAATAAAGGAAAGACTTTCTCTTTGTCCTACAGCTGGTTTCACTGGACAGGGGAGGAGCGGGAACACAGCAAGCCAAAGTGACACCACTCTGTGTACTCACAGGCCAGGGAGGTGGCACTTGCCGGCAGCGTGGGGGGCAGAAGGTGCTGGTCAGCCTCTGGTTCCTCAGGCTCAGGTGGTCCAGGTTGCCCAGCCTGTGCGTGATAAGTCACCTGGACCTGCAAGGGCACAGGTGGACCCCTGGCCTTGTCAGGGCTGCCAGAGTCCTTTGGCTCCTGTGACTGTAGTGCAGGCCAGATCCTCTCCCGCCGCCACTGGATCAACGCCACACGGTCGCGAATGGACTTGGCCACAATTTTCACGTCACTTTCATGAAAGAATCCAGAGTCAATCTGCAAAGGCAGTCACGCTGTCAGTGTCTTGGGAACCAAACGTCCCACCTGCACACCCCACTGCCTGGAACTGCTGCCATTCTCTGTGCTACTGGCTCCAGATTGTAGAGTTCTCTCCTCAGGGTTCCCTCACCCCATCTGAAGTCATTCGTCACATCATCCCAGGAGTAATGACCCTTGAAATCCACAGGCAGCTGGCACATAGCATGTGCTCCATGAACCCTCAGTCCCTGCCCTACCCTCTATACAGACAAAGGAGGCTATTCTGTCACTCAGGAGCAAGATGTGTGCACTGGTGCCCAGCAAAACCCTAAGACCTGTTCACCATGCCAAGAGTTTGGGAACATTTGCCAAAGAGCCCTAAGCTCTCCTGGAAGCATGATGAGCTTGCTCAAAATCCTCATGGCAAAACCACACTCTGCAGACAAACCCCTTGTGAAGGGCTGCTCTGGCTGGATGGCAGGTGACCTGTGACCACCAACACATGAAAGCTCATCAGCACCAAGACTTCCAATCTCTTCTTAGCACTGCAGTCTCGAAGATACAGCATTGTACTGGGTGGGGTGAGTGTGACCCACAAGGGAGGGGTGAGCAGTTCCAGGCAAGGGTTCCCAGGGAGGAGTCATTTGGGACACCATGGAGGGAAGCATATCACTATGCAGGGCTGGCCAGACAAGAACAGACATGAGGAGCAAAGGCAGCCAGGCTGCTCCCGTAAGAAAAGGCAGGGAGCCAGAATAAGGACCTGTGGTGCTAGGTGGGGACCCCAGTTGGCAGTGAAAACTGCAGAACCAACATACAGACATGCAGCATCCATGGGTGCAGACCTGTAGGCCCACAGTCCTCCTGAATCCTGCCCATCCACAGGCCTGCGGCACAACATGAACATCCCTGTAAGGCTCCGTGGTCGGCAGTAGGGAGGGCAGGAAAACCATGATGATGAACTCAGAGGATGCCAGGGACGTGCCAAAGGACATAGGAGCCAGCACCAGGGCCACCTGCTGGCAAATCTAGGGCACTTAAGCATCAAAATGAGCACTGATACAATGATGATTTGAAAGGCAATGGTGCCCCACACCCAAACACATGTTCTGCATTTGTGTACTGGGGGCATGAATACAAATCATCTGCAGGGAAGGCCAGGGTCTTCCTGGTGCTGTTAGCTGTCCCTTGCTATCTTTTTCTGCCTCCCTCCCTCTCTTTCTTTCTCTGTAATTCTAAACTTCAGTTCTTCTCTCTTTTTCTGTCTCCCCGCTGTGTCTCTTTGTCTCTGGCCACTAAATCTGTCTGTCTGTCTCTCCCTCTAAGCGTGTGTGTATGTGTGTGTGTGTGTGTCTGTCTGTCTGTCTGTCTCTGTCTCCCTCCCTCCTTTCCCCTTGGGCATGATCTGCTCCAGGAAAAGACCTGTCATGAGATTCCATCTGCAGAGGTCCACCCAAAAGAGACCAGGGGTCTCCTACTCCGAAAGCCAGCACATCTGAGCCTGCAGCCCTGGCCGATGCCTGACTGTACCTCACACCCTGAGTTGCCCCTCACCCCTGGCCTTGGAGACTCTGCAGGCCAGAGCAAGGTAAGTGCCTAGTTTGGGGAAACTTGATACTAAGCAGTAGATAACTCCTCCATGAGTAGAACCTCCTGAATACAATAAAACACAGTGCATCCATAGAGAGCTAGAAAAGAATGGAAAGTGTGATGGAAACAGGATGTTACACAGGTTAAAGCCCTCCTCCAAGACACACTTCAGTACAAAAGGCGAGAGGGACCCCACATGGACAAGCCACAGATGTCCCTGCTCCAAGCCCTTACAGCTAGCATCACATATGAAATGGGACTTGAGAGCTAGGTCTGGAACCATGTGCTATAGAGAGCCCTTCCCAGTCCTTGTTGCAGCCCAGGAAGTTTATATTTGTAATCCCATGGAAAAGTTATTGGAATTCTAGCAAGTTAATTCCAATCTACCACTTCCAGTGCCCCCCATGGGAAGAATAAAGATGCTAAGGCATACTTGTATTTATGGGGAGCCAAGGTGTCCTAAGTCCAGCTACATGGCTATCTGGAAACAAAGGCCTTGATCCAGGGCCAAACCCAGGTTTTACTAATTCATGCAGAAGGGAGTGGCTTGAGGATGAGTGACTGTGAGAATGGGGGGAAGTAGGTGAGTGAGCTGGGCTGGGTAGGAGGCCTGAAATCACCTCTGCAATATGCAGAGAGAAGGATATGCAGAAAGAATAATCTGCATAACACAACAGAGATAGTATCTAATGTTTTGGGGTTTTGCTTTAGCTCTGATGTGTAAATTTTTCAGCCCTGAGAAGTCATAGCCTCTTATCTCAAGGCTCCATCCCAGCCACAGCATGGATCACTGGCTCTTTATCCTACCTTGTTCTGGCTCACACGTGGGAATAATCACAGACACACAGACACACACACACACACACACACACACACACACACACACACACACACAAACACTGCCCTGTCATCTTTGCTTCAAAGACTACACATCAGCACTTCGGATATGCATTGCTTAAGGCCAATTGAAGGGATAAGGAAAAGTCCTAGCCAGCTCAGTACATACCAATACATGGAAATAGGGTCAGGCTCAGCCAAAATGGAGACAACTGCTCCTCTTTCAAGGAGTCGCCCAAGTGGTCCCTCACAACGTGCCACCAGGCAGCACATGGCAAGAATATGACCTCTTCCACCAGGTTGCTGCAGATGCCCCACAGCCTGAGAGTGACCCATCCTAGAGGGACACTGAGCCATGCCCAAGGGTCAGACATGACAACTGGGAAACCGAAGGGCTACAAGAGCACAAGACACTGGCCTTGTTGTGGCAGTGTTGCTGGGACACAGAAGACCTGAACAGCCCAAGGATGGACCAAAGCCACTTCTGATGCTATCTGCTGTGTGGAGTTGTGCAGGGAAATGTCCCACTTTGTAGGAATGGAGATGAAAGTATCAGGGTTAGTAGGCATCAGGTTGGCAACTTATTTTCAAATAGTGCATGGGGAAAAACAGCTCTCTGTTAGTACCCTTGCAACTTTGCAGTGACTTTGTCATAATTTCAAAGTAATTTATTTGGGGCTAGGCGTGGCTGTAATCCCAGCACTTCAGGAGGCTGAGGCAGGAGGATTGCAAGCTCAAACCGTGCTTGTGCAACTCTGCAAATTAGTGAGATTCTGTCTTAAAATAAAAAGTAAAAAATGGGCTGAGGATATGGCTCAGTGAGAAAGCCCTGGATTCAATTCCTAGTACCAGAGGGGGGAGAATTATTTTGAAAGATGATTCTGCTCAACAGAATGAGGATCCCTCATGAAACAGCTGACTCAGGCGGGAGTGGGAGCAATCTAGGCATATGGCCAGGGCACGGCCAGCAGAGGGGAGGCCGGAGGTGAGCACCCATGGGCCCAGCCATCAGCCTGCCTGCACAGCTCCAGGAACAGGATGCTCTCCCATCCCAAAGGAGACCAGGCTCAGGTCCTCTTCTGCCTTAAAGTCAGGAGCCCCAGGCTCCAGCCTTTGGGGCCTTTATGGGGAAGCTAGGAGGGCCTAGACCAGCTAATGATGCTTGTGGGCCTGAGTGAGCAGCTCTGCTGCTTATACCTGGGGGCAGGTGTACAAAGGGAGCCAGAGCTCTTGACTGAAGTCATCCCCTAATGCTCCAAGTGACCTTGGGTCACACCAAGGCTGATGGCCTCATGCTTCCAGGTTTGCTGCTATTTTCTGCCACCCTTAGTCACAGCTGATTATCCTTTCCTCTCTTTCTTCTCAGTCTCCTCAGACTTCCTCACCACGGCATTTCTATTTTTCTCCCACACAGGTAAGAATGCAGCTGCATTCTGTGCCTCCCTAGCAGGTCACATTATCTAGAGTTCTGAAGCAAAAGGAAGGGCTGACCCAGGAACCCCCACTCTGCTCCCTGGGCCCAAATCAAAGACAGGCAGCCCAGGACCACACAGAGCTCGGCCTCACTCTCTGCCCTGATGATCTGCACACCAACCTACATGCCCACTTTTGTCCCTGTCCCCCTTGAGGAGCCATTTGGACTCCACAGCATCTCTGACACTATGTACCAGGTGTCTCAGTTTTTAAGAGTAGCCCCAGGTCTCAGCATCTCCTTCGACTCATGGTACAGCATCCTACGGTAAGGCCCCTCTAGCCTGGGTCCAGGCAGAAATTGGTAGCAAGATCCCAGGAAGGAAGGAAGATCCCCCAGCGATGACCCTGGGCCAGACTCCAAGAGGTGTGAAGGAGGAGGGTGAGGCTGGAACCTGGACAGGCCTCCCAGGGCCCAGCAAGAGCAGGACAGCGCTGCAAACAAAACGACCCCACATGGTCCAAAAACAGAGCCCCACGGCTTTCAGCTGGTCATGGGCAGCTGTCTAGGCTGGGTCTGTTCTCTTTCCTCAGCAGAGCAGAGATGCACACTACTTCACTAGGGCTCTGCACCTGGACACAAGTTAGGTCCCTTCTGTGTGGAGGCTCTGTTTCATGGGTGGAGAATCTTGTGATGGAAATCAGGGTAAGGGATGGACAGTGGAAGGAGGGGGAAGTAAATGGAAGGAGAGAAGAAAGGAGTGCCAAGGCCAGGGGCCTCCCTGGAGCTGAGCCAGGGATGCAATCTGTGTAATCAGCCAAGTGCCAGGGACTGGTTGAGGGGACAGCCACGTCCATAGCGTCCCTGTTCTGTGGGAGGCTGTCCTATGCTGCTGTCAAGCAGGGTTGAGGTGTACTGCTGAGAGGCTGCTGCCCTGAAAGCAGCTGAGCAGAACTTGGGGCACATTTGGGTTTGGGGCACAGCCATTTTCAAGGGAAACAAAGCCAAACAGGGAGGATGAGGTCTGCCTGAAGCCTAAACACTCAGTATCCACTTGTCTGGGATCCTGGCACCCTCCCAGATGCACCACCCATGCTGGGATAGCCCCTTGTCGTGTCCCAGCCATCCTGTAGCACTGGGCCTCCTGGCTCAGCTCCCAAAGCCCTCACACCCTGACAAGCACCAGGCAGGCACTACCACACTACTACAAAGAATAAGAGAACCTCGTTTCACCTGATCCTCCCAAGGGTATCCCACCACACCAAGCCAGGGTGCTCCCTGCAAGGCCACAACTAGTGTGGTGCTCCTGGAGCCCTCTTCACACCCGTATGGGACTTCTCCATCTCCCTGAGATGCTGGCTGCCTCTGGTCACCCTTGGCACAGCACCAATGGCCAGACAGCACCCTTAGAAGGACACTCTGAGCACACAGGTAGCACCAAACCTCAGGTCCCACGCACCCAGAGCCAGTGAGCCCCTTGACACTTCACTTCCTCTGCAACAAGAAGTGTAGGGCACAGCTGTCACATCACTGAATAGAAATGGTGCTTGTGACAGTACAAGACAGACAAGCTGGTAATCATTTAAGCGCAGCGTGTGGTACATCTGCATGGTTCAATTTGAAAACGCAGCTCTGTGAGCCCCATCCCGCCCCCAGGAGACACAGAAAGCCCTCTAGGAAGTGCAGTCTGGCCTCACAGGAGTGACGTGCTCACAGCAGGTTTCGGTATCTGAGCTGGGACTGTGACCAGTGGGAGCAGACCAAGCCAAGGACACAGATGCCTACCTTGCAGCCTCCACGGGTGACAGTGCAGCTGCCCCCTTAAAAAAGCTAGCCTGGGCTCCAGCCACCAGAGGGATGTCACATGCACCTGCTCCCTGATGATGCATCACAGCCCTGGACACAGGCCACTGTCCTGGAGCATGCAGCCCCCTTAGCCAGGGCACCAACGAACCCACAAGGCACTCTTCAGGATGCCCTGCTTCAGGTCCTGAGACCGTACTCTCACGCTTCTGTACTCCAGAAGGCCAAGCCAGGGCCAGAGCACCCAATCCTGTAGCTGTGGAGAGGCCAGGGTAGCATGGGTCCTGCCCTCAGCAACCCTATAGCCCGGGACCTCTGGACCTCAGCTCACTCTAACTCCATGGCCACATACAAACCCTAGAAGTGGCTGGCTGTGAAGCTGTGGCTCGTTTCTCGTGAACCTCCACACACAACCTAAAGCTGCTGCCCTGCAGGCCCCTCAAGTACCACATGCCCCTGCCCATGGGCAAATGCCAGGCTCACTGGGCTCCAAGGGTTTATATACCTTACATGCTACAGTCAAGCCTCAGTTTCCTCATCTGAGCAGGGCCTCAGGAAATAGTATTGAGCCCCACGAGGCCCTCCCCATCTTTCCTTACCCATCTAGGGTCACATCCACTTCCCCTGGCTGGAGAAACAAAGAACTTGCCCCCCTGCATAGCTGGCACTTACGGACATTCCCAATAGATGTGTTTTGTTCAGGGCAAAGTCTATTTAGGAACAAATTTAAAGGACAAACGTCAGTCATGACAATGACATGTCAAACCAACAGCTCTCCTGCACCGAGCCACTGGGTTCATTTCTGCTCAGTGTTCCCACTAAATATTAGCAGCTCATTTATTCCTAATTCAGCACTTCCTCACCTGGCCTCAGGGAAGGCCCTCCTGGGCTGCTGTTCCGGGGCCCCCTGCTCTGGCCATGCAGTGCAGACTCTGGTGCTGTCATCTGGGCATCTGAGGTAGTGTCTGAGCTGACTCACCTTTTATAATCAGCAACAGAGATACCTGCCTCCTCACCTGCCACAGGGCTCTCAGAAGACCACAGCTTCCCCTCCTGGACCAAGTTCCCACCCTGTGCCTCTCGGGAGTCAGCTGTCTACCGCACTTTGCAAGTAAGTCCCAATGGGCAGGTGTGGCCACCTCTGCCCACCCAGGGCCCCTCCAGCCCCAGCAGTACCACTGAACAGATCACTGTTCTGTGAGGTTCAGTACAGGAGCCTCAATCCCCATGTAGTGTTAAATGTGGCCAGTGAGACAGAATTTTATGTTTCTGTTACATTAATTAAATTTAGAATTAAATTTTAATAGGCACTTATGGGTTGTGGCTACCACTTTGGTTGGCATAAGCCTAGAGAACTGAGTCAAAACAACTTTGAGCATCCACAGACCAGGAAACTGGCAGCCCCTGGCCTCCCGCATCCCCTCACCAACACATCCCATGTGTTCCCTATTATGCCACCACTACCACCTGGAGTCAGCGTGGCGGCTCTGATCACCTGTGCCTGCGTCCACTCCACTTGACTGCATCTCCTGCCTGTCACCCCAGCGGGCTCCAGGCCTGCCAGCTCCTGAGCCCCAACTGGACACCCCAGGCAGAAATAGGTCACTCTCCTGGAATCTCTCCTGAGATTCCAAACCCTCATCCCCAGCAGAGGAATGGTGACGGACAGGCAGAAGAAAGAAGGCAGGACTTGCTCTTCCATCATCTCTCAGGTGGAAAAACACCAGAAACCAAAGCAGTCACAACAGCACCCCCAAAACAAATGGACAGAGCCACCACCCTGGAGCAAATGTGGCAAGAATGTGGCCAAAGCCAGCCAGGCCTTTCCCAGCTGACCCACTCCACTCTCACGATTCTGCGTTTCAGCAGCTCCTCTCTGGGTCCTACGCATTGAGGAGACTTCAGGTTTTCCTGTCACTGCACACACACTCGACCACACAGCTGGGCCCCAGCCTCCCTCTCAGGCCTGCTGCTCCCCATCCATCCATGCTGGGCCACTCCTCATGGACAGCTTACTCTTCTCTCCCCACCCCCATAGGGAAGCTCCCTGTTGACAGCTTTCACTCGTGTTTAGACACCACATGCTCTGAACAGCACCCCAGCCTTGCCCACGCGCAACTGAGCCCTCTTCCAGGGCTGCCTGAGGTTGGCACACATTACCATTTCCTGGGCCACCTCATCAGGGGTCTCTTTTTCTAGGTCAAAGGTGAACTCTATGGCTCCATTGTCCTTGGGCTTGCCCTTCAGCTTCTTGGGGTCTTCCACCCAGAGCCGCAGGGCGATAGTGGACTTTCTGCCGTGGTCCTCCTCCGCCAGCTCCACCCTGACACCAGTGTCCTCCGCAAAGAAGGCATGGCTCAGCAGATCTTTGATCTCGTACCTGGAGGAAACACAGTTGACAGGCAGGGGCTTGGGGCCAGATGGACTCCATACCCAAGGACACGCACACAGCGTTGCCCCGGAGTATTAGGTAGCCACCTGGTATAGCTCAGCACCGGGCTGGTTATACTAGAAAGTTCTCTGGTTTCACCACCTGGCAAGCAGGCTCAGCACTAAGGGCATCTCCTAGCCACGAGAATTTGCATTCGTGAGCTCCCAGGACGTGAGAACCAGTTCCCATCAGAATATGCCCTTCCCACCTCATGCTCTGAGACTGCCTTTCTTCTCCGTGCCCACTGTGCAGACAGAGCCCCTGCTGATGTGTGCATGAGCTTCCAATACCCACAAGAGATCCCAGCTCTGGGTGGGAGTGGAGGCAGCAGCACTACAGAGCCCCTCATACAGTGCCATGGTGGTGGTCTTGGGCCTCCCTGGAGCAATGGGTTTGCAGGGAAGCCTCCTGTAGGAGGGCTGACTGGTAGAGCAGAGCGGAGGGGGCATGTGTACTAAAGAAGAGGGAGAGCAGGAAGGTGAGCAAGGACCTACAGGATTCAAGGGTGGAGCAGACCCTAGCCATGGGAGGTGCTCCAGCGAAATCCAGTGCCTCACAGCTGAGCATTGCTATGGTGACCACTTTCAACTCTGCATAGCTATACCACACAAACATACATCTCCAACACCAGCCCCACTTCCTTTTTCCAGCATAAATATAATCACACAGCAAGCAATTTTGTGGGTCTGGCTTCTTCTAATATTGTGTTTGCAGAGCCACCACATAGGTACAAACATCAGCTACCCATCCCTGTTGACACCTGTGGGTGTTCTGAGCCCCAGTTTGTTTTAGGGGGAGGGAAGGCTGAAAAGTTCCCCTCAGCTTTCTGGATTCCCAGCTGGAAAAGGTGATCCTGCAATGAATGGCAAGATGGCTTCGTAGGGGCATGCTGCCTTAAAGCCATCCAACAACTAGAAGCCTAACTATACAGCTGGGGTTCAGAAGAGAGCAGGGCTAAGGCAGTCCTGGGAATCCCAGGCATGGAAATGTTTACCAAGGTCAAAGACATGGATACCATTCCTAGGGATGCCTAGGGAAAAAGCAAAGAGAAGCAGAAGGAAGCCTCAATCTATCAAATGCCCCAGCCTGGGTCAGGACTGAATCTAGGATGGCAGAGAAGGGCAAGGAGCTATGGATGCCCACACGAGCTCCCCAGCCTGGTGTCACTGTGGCCTGAGCAGGTGTCTGGCCTCTGAAGTTCTCTCTCATTGGGAATGAGGCTCTAAATGCCAGCTGCAATGATTTCAGTTGCAGAAAGCCCCAGAACCCAGTACCACCCAGGAACTCACCTTTCCTCCTTGTTCTTGCAGATGCACTCCCCAATAATCTCCTTGATTTCAGGATCGTGCACTTTCTCAAAGCTGGCCGGCTTGATGCCCTGAGGAGAGAGCAGAGCCAACTGACACCATGAGGTAGCATCTCCGCCTCTGTGCAGGGAAACTCCTCCAGCCATGATGGGAGAAGTGCCACTGCGCTCATAGTTCCTAGTTACCAGGAAACTAAGCACGCTATGCCAAATGGCCACATTCAGACAATGAATGATGGGCTGCAGGATGTGGGCTCAGAGAAGTGATCCAAGAGGTGCTCCCTCCCACAACCCAGTTCACTGCCTGGACTAGTACCCAGAGTAAAGCAAAAAACATAGCTGAGCCTGGGATCTCACTGAGCTGAGAGTAGAGATCAGATTTCAAGGAGGCTGAGGAGGCCGCAAGGTAGAGTTCTGGAAAGGAAGGAGCTCCAGATGTCTGCAAGGGATGCTCTCAAGTCTTTGCTTAGTTCCAGACCATGAATGTGTAGTTAATGCCACTGGGTTGGACAAAGAACCACTAGGAGAACCATAGGCAGAACCATTTCCAGAGTTTGTGCAGAGGACCGATGATGTCATGTGTACAATGCACAGCATGCAATCAAAAATTACTAGATACACCAGGAGGCAGGAAAGCATGATCTAACAAAAAAACCAGTCAAAAGAAATGTGAAAGATGTTGGACTTTGCCATAAGGAAATTAAAACTCATTGTAGCTACATGAAAGTCTTAAAAAGGAAGTGAACATAGCGAGAAACAGAAGTATAGATATAAAAAAAGAACCAATTGGAACTAGAAATGAAAAACATGATATCTGAATTGAAAGTTTCACTGGGGCAGATCAACTGCTGATGAGACACTGCAGAAAAAAGATGCAGCAATCAGATCCATCAGATACAAAAATGGTCACTGAGGCTCTACTGCTTTGCCGCAGAATATAGGACACCAGCAAGGGTGAAATAAGAGGACAGGATCGGGGAGGGATAGGAAAATGCCTGAAGGAACAAGGGCTGAAGGTTTTCCAGCTATGATGAAAACCCTATGCCCACAGACACAACATGCTCAAGCCCCAGGCAAGATAAAGCAGAGAAGGTAAATTGTGTGAAGCCCCTGGGGTGCACTGTTTCATCTTCCTGCCCGCTGTGTGAAGCATGAGCCTGCTTTCCTACCACTTAGGTCTCTGCATGGAGGATACTTTCTCAGGTTACCCCACATCTGTCAAAGTGTGCGGCAGCCACCGTGGACTCTGGCCCCAGCCTTGTATCCAAGGTGCGGCCCCCCCATCTCCATGATGACCATTGCCCAGTAACAACACACAATGCAGCCCCCACCTGTGCTGCAGAATGTGATACCGGCCTTGACAACTCAAATACAGCAGTGAGTTTCTGGAAAGGTGTTGATCAGAGCTTGGTTGCAGGGCCTCCCCGGTATGGAGCTGTGAGGATCTTGGGAGTCAGCTGCCTCATTGCCAGGAGGAGGAACCGCAACAACTGGGTGGATTCCACCCTTCCCACAGAGCTGGGCCTCTCTAACCGCTCCTGGGCCTCCTCCCCACACGCCTCCTCAGAGGGCAAGAGCATGGTTTGTGGTCACTGCTGCTGGCCAGGGAGACTCGGCGGGGGGGGGGGGGGAGGTACTGGTCTGAGGGCAGCAGCCACTCCTTGGTTAGCTGATGGCCATGTGCAGAGGGAACACAGACACTATCACAGTGAAAGTAGGAGGCGGCAGGGTCTACTTGCAATCTGCTGGGGCTTGGGGTGGGGAAAAGGTCAGGATAGCGGGCAAGTTATCTAAAAATAATTTCAATATATCAAAGGCACCAGCCATCTCATTCTTCCTCCTTCAACAAGATTCAGCCTTTGAAAGCCTTGCTCTGCCTTTTCTTTAATATAGGGAATATAAAGCATAAAATTTTCCAAGAGATGGGGGCAGGGATAAGACATCCCACTGAGCCTACTGATAGGTGCTGGAGCCCCCACTGGGGCAGACAGAAGTGGAGAACCCCGAGGTGGCAGTGTCCACCTGCCTGGTCAGGAGCACACCAAGCCCTGAGCCTAGAAGGGCCCCTGTGGACACACCACCATCCATATGCCAACAGGAACCTGGAGCCCCTCTCCCTACCCGCCTCACACTAGCATCTCCCTGGACCAGCAGATGGAGCCCCAAATCTCTCTGTCCCCCATTTCCTACTTGCCAGACTGCCGTTGCCTCCCTTTGGGAGCTTTTTGGATCTTCACTCCTCTGTGGGGTTTCTGAGCCAGGCCCACGAAAGCCACCAGCCAAGGACTCCACCTGCTACCCCCTGTGCACACTGCACAAAGGACAGCCCAATGCTTGATCATTTGGTCAAAGGAGAGATGTGTATCATCTACAAGGTGGGCTCAGCTGGAAGGCAGGGCCCAGGTTGAAATGGTGGGGTGCCCAGAACCATGCTCCATGCATCTGCAGAAGCAGCTTCTGGCCCCCAGATGTCCATGGTAGAGACGTATGGAACAACATCATACCCAGCCAGAGGCACCTAGGAGAGGCAAAGGCAGCAAGGACTCTGGGATTACAGGGGCCAAGGCTGAGCTCAGGTCTCCTGGTCTCACTACATGAACAAAGATGGAATGTGAAGGAAGCACCACAGGAAAGCCCAGGCCCAGCTACTCTGCCTCCCCATGCTCTGTTCTGGTTCCCCCAACCAGTGGGGCCACACAGAGGGAGGACAGGACCCATGTGTTTGTACAACTGAAGCTTATCAACTCAAAACTCACAGCGACAGCAAAACAGGGATTAAGGCCCCAGGCCAACCAAAGCTGCACCCACCTGGAGACACATTTGGCTAGGGCTGATGGTTTGGTTAAAAAGGAAAACAAACTACGGTTGCAAAATAAAGAAGATGGGGAACCCAGTATCCTTGTGTTATAGTTTGTGTCTGGATGTCCCCTCAAAGCCTCATACAGTCATGGAGCGGGCTTCTACAGTTTTTGATTGACTCACGGTCCAATGGGGTTATGGGGTGAGCGCTGGCATTCTGGATGTGAGTGCTACACCCACCCTACACTGGTGTAGCAGGGTGGGTAGCCTGCATACAATGTAAGGAAGGGAAAGTGGCTTGCTCTCTGCTGCTCCTCCCTTTTTGCTTTTGCTGTTTTCTGCTGCCATGAACTGTTGCCCTCTGCCATATGTCACTCTGCCTTGGAGCCAGCCAAGTATGAACTGAAACCTCCACAAACTGTGAGCTAAATAAACCTGATCTTCCTTAATCTGGGGCGTCAGGTATTTTGTCTCAGCAACGAGAGAAAAGTAACTTAGACACCCTGGGCCAGCCCAGAGAGGGGGCTCCAGGGACAGGTCCTCTGGGCCCACCTCCTGGCAGAGGGCCCTGCTGGAGCTACAGTCTCCCAAGCCTCAGTTTCCCAGATGTATGGGCCTCACGGTACTGTGTACACGACAGCCTCCAAGGGCAAGCACTGCCCATCATTTCTGCCAGCAGACCTCACCCAGCAAAGCCTCAGCTGTAAGGTGGCTGCAGTCCCTCTTCATTCCACTGTGGCTGTGAAGGACTTTCCAAAGGCCTGCAGAGCCAGCTGAAGCTGGGGCCCATACACACTGCAGTAATAAGGAGGCTGGGGGACTCACACAGGTGACCTTGCGGTAGATCTGGGCAGCATTCTGGCACTCCGAGTAGGGGTACTCTGAGGTAGCCATCTCCAGCATGCACATTCCGAAGGCGTAGACATCCACAGACTCATCGTAGTGCTCCTCATACATTTCTGGCGCCATGAACTCAGGCGTACCTGGGCCAGGAGCAAATATGTAGTCAGCTGGCCATACCCAAGAATGCTGGGAGCCAGTGCCCAGGGGCCCCTTCAGCCTCTCAGACCCCCCCACCTGTCACCCTACTGTCTGTCCTGTGGCATCCTAAGAACACCCACCTTTACAATGTCTGTCCTAGAATCCAGGATTCAAACAGATGTTCTCCATAGTTTCTAAAACTCCCACCTGGAGCCTCATGATTCCAGGGTTAGCAGTCAGCTCAAAGCACCATCTGCCTGCCCGGAGGACTTCCTAGGACACACCCGTCCCCTTCGCACACCCCTCACCTGTGTGTGGGTATTGGGCCTCTGAGGACAGGCTCTGCATGGGCTGCACTCAGACTTTCAGGGGCAGCCAAATACCCAGTGGTCACCACAGAGCTGCTTCTAACTGCAGAAGCCCAGAGAGGCCTAAGTGTCCCTGGGCAGGGCCATGGCTGGGGTCATCGCACACCACAGTGGTGAGTGTCACGCAGCACACACAATTGTCCTTACCACAGAACATAGTACCGTGGCTGGAAAACTGCACCCACCTGACATTAACCACAGAGACACTAAGACAGGAATCACTGGTGGTGTGTTAAACACAAAAGGAGTAAGACAGTGTTTGACCCAAACCCTGAAGGACCCAGAAACTAATGATAGGTTTGATAAATAATACAAGTGCACCAGCTTATGGCCTCACCTACGTAAAATGGCACACACAGCCAGGGGAGGGGGCCACCCCTGATTTTCCTTTTAATTACTTTACTTATGGGGCTGTACGTTTTTCTTTAATAAGCTTCTGCTTTAATAATCACAAAAGACTTTCATTAAAGTAAGTCCAACAGAGTGTTGAGTTGGATTCAATGAACAGGAATCAGAGACTTTAATAGAGCGGCTTTTAACATCTGTGCGTTTGCTGGCTTTGCAAGAGTTTTCCAAATTGTTCTAGTGTTTCTTTAAAGTAGATGCAAAATTGTACAAACTAATTCACTGCAGTAAAAAGCACATGTCAAGGTTTCTTTTACCCATCATTCAATTTAACACATGTTATAGTGAAGCTTTGGGGAAAGCAGAACTGTGCTCAGGGTTACGTATAGTACAGACCTCTCGCACGGCCCACCAGAACAGCAGGGGCTGACTGCAGTCGGGGCACCTTGCTTTAGAAAGTTTTCTCCTTTTGGGTTAAGAACCACATGGTTATTCTGAATTTTTTTTTTTACAATAGGTTGATATTTTGAAGGTTTTTTTTTTTTCCATCCCTAAGCCTGTCACAGAATTATGACCATGCTGCCCATGCTGAGGCCAAAAGAAAAGCGGCCATAAAAACCACAGCCACTCAGAATCCAGGCTGGTGACAACACAAACACCTGTTCTAGGCCCCCTCCTTCCCTGTCACACCCTGGGGTCCCCCAGCAGACACCCCTAAGGAGCTCACCACCTGCTGCACAGGCCTAATTGCCCATCTTGGCCACTAAGGTAGGCCTGCCATGGTGCAAGATGAAGTACACCAAAATGCAAGGCTCACCGGGAAGCCCCAAGCTGCAGGAAGGGCTCGCTCCTCAGGACTGCCTCCATTGCTACAATGCCACCCACCTAACCAAGTCCCATGAGGCCATCCGCCAGCGAGCATGTGGGACAATCCACCCTGTGATGACAGGGAAAAACCACAGCAAAGCCCTTTCCTGCCGGAGGCGTAGGCAGAGTCACAAGGGGTGTGTCCTGGGCCTTTAGGTAGCCACATCTACCACAGAGACAAGCATGCTGGGAGCCTGGTCCCAGAGCTGCTAGGCAGGAGTCAGGGAGCTGAGCTGGCCACTCCCTGCCACCTGCAAGGACCCCCAACTCACCCAGCTGTCCACAGAGAAGCCAGGGCCCAGGTGGAGGCAGCAGTGTCCCAGGCCTGGCTTCTTTGTGACCTGCAGGAACTCAGGACCCTGCTCATCAAGCAACACCCCAACACCCCAGATGCCTTGCTCTGGGAGATGGGGGGCCAGCTCAGAAAGGGGCACAGAGACCCCAAGAATGCCTCATCTACATATATGCTTGGACACTGATACCCTCAGTTGTGCTTCCTTTCCTTCACACTACAGCCATTTAAATCTAAAATGTAGAAACATTTGTGTGCTGTGTGTGTGCAAATACATCCAGTGGACAGTCCTAACCTCCATTCAGCTTCGGGTTTAGCCGCTTGGTATAGAACTGTCTGTCCTGGACCCCACCCACAGCACCCCTCACACCTGCTGCACCCTGAGTACAGATATTTCAGGCCTCATCTGCCATCCCTGGGCCCAGCCACAGCCGTGACATCAGGTACTGGGGACCTCGCCTCCGGCAGTCCTCTCCCCTATCCTCCTGCAGGAGGCAGTAAGAGCGGCACGGACGGCTACAGCCTTTCTTCTGCTTTTTAACAGAGCAGTGCCTGTGGCCCAGCCCTTTGCCACCAATGGGGAAGGGCCGCATCCCAGGTCCTGGCAGAAGTGCAGTGAGGATGCACTTGGTCCAGCCTGAAGTTAAAAATCAGCCTGTATCCCATGGAAACCATTTCTGGGTGCTAATGGAAGCAACTTCCTGTATGAAATCAAAGCCCTATTTCCTAGCCTTGCCTGTCTTCATTTACATTAGGACAAAACCAAACCAACACAGTTGGCCCTTGCCCACCTTCTCAGCAGACAGACCTAACTAACCTGCCTCCTTTCTCCCAAGGGTCCCCTCATGGTCCAGAGCCCCTGAGTGTTCATCTCTAACTGTCAGGAGCCAACAGTGCCATCAGCCTGGGCCAGCCTGCAGTCCTTTCTAGAGTAGCCTCCCTCGGCTCACTTTGGCCTCCTCCCTAGTTCCCTCTGCACTGGGCCTAGTTCTACCATTGCCACCTCCAGGAAGCCTTCCTGGAGGAACCGCACCAGCCCCAGGGCCCTGCTTGCTGCAGGGAGGGTGTGGACACCCTGCAGCAGGCAGGACTACATCTACCTATCCCTATGCCCTCAAGCTCAGCACACGCAAACCAGCAAAACCCACACCGTGGAGGTGTGAGAACCAATGCAGTCAAAGCCCGCCTGTTACACCTATGTCCTCCCCTGGCACTGAGTCATGACAACAGCAGCCCTGATGCTGAGAAGTAGCAGCCAGACCTCCAACCTCCACATCTGAAGGGTAAACCCAGGGCCCGCAAGAGAAACCCTGAGGGCTATGGCAAGAACATCCATTCACTCCTGCTTCCAAGGAACTGGACGGATGGACACACACACACACACACACACACACACACACACACACACACACTCATGGGGGTTGAGGCTGTCCTAACGGACTGAGGACTCCAAAGGGGCCAAGCCTGCTGGCCACAGGTAGGTGTGAGTTAACACCCCTCCCAGGTAGGGCTGACCACTAAGAGACCTGGGAGACAGGCTCCTATTTAAAGGCCTAGGCTCACCTGGGAAACAGGCCTGGGAGTGCCCCGCCTGCCCGCAGCCCTTCACCCAGCTGCTAGCCTTGCCCTGGTAACAAGCCTTATTGTCCATGGGCAGAGGCAGCTGAGGACACTCCTGGTGCCAGCCTCACAAACCCAGGCTTCCTGGGCTCCAGCTGAACCAAAGCCAGGGTGACCAGGGATACCCCATAAACCCAGGCACCTAAGTGTGAGACACAGTGTCCCACCGTGCCTGCCAGAAACAGCCAGCCTTCATCTCAACCCACTCACATCACCCAACCTGGCGATGGGAAACCTTGTTCCCAAGTAAGCAAAGAGCCTGCTGGCCAGGAGCTTGCTAGGTGCCTCAGCTTGGGGGATGGGGCGCACTTTGTCCTGAATGTTTACTTCTCAGGTGTCACCTAAGTGGCCTTCCTGCCACCTGTCTGAGCCCAGGGACCGAGACCAGGATTCACTTACAAGATCAAATCTGCAAAATCTACTGCCCAGAGCTCAGAGCTGGGATGTGCTCAGAGCCCCAAGCCCTGGAGCCCCACTCTCACCCCTCCAAGATGGAGCCCAGAAGCTTGCTTGCCTGTCTCATCCACTTCACGGACAGGAAAACTGAGGCCTGGGGCAGTCCCTGCTCCACACCACCCAGCTCCCTGGGGGCTACCAGAGACCTTGTGTTCGAAGGCCACACCTCACCCCAGCCATCAGCTGCCCTGCCTCAGCTGTCACTCACATTCCAAATACACTACTCCAACCACAGCAGTTCCCAGAGAATAGCAAGAGTCGTTTTTCCCAAAGAGGCCAAGTTTTGTCCCCAAACATACAACAAAACCATGAATTTACAAAGCAGCAAAACCAACAACTCATGATCCTACTGGGACCTAGTGGACCTTTAGTGCCACCACACCACTGAGGCTGGGCACACAGCACACCGTGGATCCGCTGTCTCCCCACAGCAGCTATAGGCCAGCTCCCCTCGCAACCTCTGGCCCAGGGAGCCTCCCCAGCAAGGCAGTCAGAGGGCTTCTCAGAAGAGGGCATCCAAGCCAGACCGAGGACAAAACAAGGCCACAATGGCCAGCAGGGGCCCTCAGCACCTGCTCCCACAGTACATAGGCACCACTCTGGACCCCTCTTCCAGCTCTGTCTGTCCCCAAACACCCTAAGCTGTCACCTCCACCTACTGAGAGCGGCTCCAGCACCAATTACCACAAGCTCCCTAGTTCCTCTGTGGCCAGGGCCTCCTCCCCGATCCCAAGTGACCACAGTGCCCACGGACACCGCGGAAAGTTGGCATCCAGCCTACCATGCCCACTGGGCACTCAGAGCTGGCACGAAACAGAGCCAGGGAATTAACACAGACCCCTCCAGGCCCCAAGTGTGGCAGGGCAGGGGCAGCACGGCCCCCACAGGGCAGGTCCCCTGGCTGAGCCACCAGAGTCCAGGAAGGACAGTTGAGGCACCCAGCCTGAGGCCACCATGCCCAATGCTCCTTCTCCTGGGTTTCCCACACCAGTCTGAGGGGGTTGAGCAAAAGCAGACGCTGTCAGGCTCTCAAATGCCACTTAATCCTCAGGGGTTTCCTAGCCTGGAGAGGAGACTCAGGCTTACCTATCACACTTTTGGCAAATGATGCTCTTTTGAGAGTGGCCAGGCCCAAATCACCAATCTTTACAGAGCCAGTGGGCCCAGTGATAAAGATGTTGTCACACTTCAGGTCTCGGTGGATGATGGGCGGCGTCCGCGTGTGCAGGAAGAGCAGTCCCTTCAGGATCTGCCGGCACCAGCTGCGCAGCACCTTGGGCTTCATCACTTTGAACCGTTTCAGGTACCTGGGAGGGGGCACAGGGCAGTGCACAGTTTGAGCCGCAGGCCCGCGCAAAGGACCTGCCTAGCACCAGCCAGTTTCAAAGCCTGTGCACACACACGTGGTGCCTATGACAGGCAGCAAAGCTGAGAGAGGATGGCCGGGCAGTTCTGCTCCAGGTCACAGAGCGGGAGTCAAGGCAGCCAGCCAGGCCAGGACCATGACCCTCTGCTTGTTTCTTGCACTGGGGGCCTCGATACTAAAGTTCACGCCATGCACAATGCTGATCTCACCCTGACATGGCACCAAGATCAGCTGAGAGCCGGCCCCAGCAGGACAAGGCCGCAACCAGCAGCGCTCAGGGTGAGGATTAGAGTTAGGGGATCCCAGGGCCTGTGGGAATACCCAGGGCCAGAGGTCAAGAAAGCCAGGCCCTCCCTGCAACTGCCTCTGTGACCCGCTCTGAGGCGTCCCTGAAGAGGAGCCAGCAGGGGCTGGGAACAGGGATCCTTCCTTGCTGCACCTTCATCTATGAGTGAAAATGCCTGGTGACAGGGGGGCAGCAAGGCCCTACCAAGGCGCAAGGTGAAAACACCTCAGATGAGCCCAGGCTGCGACCACTGGAAAGGAAGCCTCCCGTCCCCACAGTGTGGACAAGGGCCTCAGGGAGAAGCAGCAAGCTGCCACCTGGCTCTGGCCCCTCCCCAGGCCCCTGGTGCAGACTGCTTCTGAGCACCACTATGTGCCAGGCAGGCTCCCAGGCAGAAACAGTACACCGGCCAGAAATAAGACCCCAGACAGAAGCGATGAGCAAACCCCAGGAAGAGATGGTGAGGACACTTCCCAGTCATGTCCTGGGGACGGGTCCCCTCTGTCACAGGAAGCCAGAGGGAGCCAAAGGTTAGAAGGAACTGCTCAGTTTCTTTGATTTGTGTCTTCTCATTTGGGGAAGGGGCTTCCTATTGCCTGGAGATGAAAGCTTATCACCCAAGGGGACACTTCCGAGAGGCAGGAAGTGGATTGTGGACAGCAGCTAGGATGCTCCTGAAGTCCAGGACCTCAGTTTCCCCATCCACCCCTCTCCACACACACACATGCACAACACTCATGACCAACACTCCCCAGCCCACAGGCGGGCAGCACTCACGTCTTCAGCGTCCCTGAGGTCATCAGCTCGGTCACTAGAACGATACACCGCTTGCCCTTGGCACTGGACTCCCAGAAGTCATAGAAGCGCACGATGTTGGGGTGCTGCAGGCCTTTCAGCATCTCTGCCTCCTCCTTGAATCGCTGCCGCTCCAGCTTGGTGAGCTTTCGGTCCTAGCGCGACACAGACAGGAGTGAGCAGCGCTCGTGGGCCTCACCACTGCTCTCCCATACCTTAGTTGGGAGAGCACAGGCGCAGGGAGACACAGGAAGGTCAGGCACGTGTGGCAGAATCCACCCTCCCTCTCTACCCACAGAAAGGCAAGTAGGCTAGGGCTCAGGATGGCCCCACAGAAGGACCTTTGCAAAGAACAGTTTCAGGAAGCCAGAGCTGGCTTGTGATGCACACTGCCAAGCTCACACAGTTTCCTTAAAAACACTTCAGAGGCCTCCGTTCCCTCAGCAACCATTTACTTTCTGTTTGTTAAAAGAAGGAAACATCGTTCTGCTTCTCATGTACACACAGCTCGAATGACGCGCTCAAGGCCCCAGAGACTAGACCTAAGGAGACAGTGAAGGGGGCCAGGGACCACGGGGAAGGAAAAGCATCCTGCTGGGGCAGGAGGACACAGCACACTTTCCTGGCAAAACAAACCGACTGACCTTAAGCTTAACAGGGGTCAACAAACACTGAAGGACCCTCCTGGGGCGTGTGTGCTGGGTGTCCCCACCCAAGAGCTCTGCCCACAGTCACACCATCACTGTGCATCACATCCGCCTCGTCCCACCACTGCCATCCTTGCCCACTGGCCTCAGTGCCCACCACCCCACCCCTACTCCCCACCCAGCCCCCCGTCTCATTCCCCACTACAGCCTCCTTCCCTTCCCCAAATCCTTCTCACCACAGAGCACTCAAAAGAAACCCGAAGGGCTCACCCAGCCCCAGAGACTGTACACATCCACCTTCATCCCACAAGATGAGGCCCGGCGCTGTAGGCACAGCCATGGCCTCTCCCAAGGCCAAAAGCGCACTGTACCCCGCTCGCCCAGGGTCACCGCCCAGTCCTGCCCGGAGTAGCTCACAGAGCAATGCCTGCCTCCTCCTGCCCAGGAACCATGGGAACGTGGGAACAAGATGTGTGTGCGAAAGGAAACCATAAACACATCTAAGACAGCAGAAATCTGAGCAACTCCAGGAGTCTGAAAGCAGGTGGATTGGGAGAGATGGTGGGAGATGAGAGCTGAAAGAGAACGTAAGCCAAGGCCCCCAGGCTCCCTCTGGAAGTCCCCAAGGAGTGCAAAGCCAGGCTCGAACCCAGAGAGGACAGGTGGAACGTCGGGTCAAGGCAAGGGTCATCTTGCTAAGGATTATGTCCCAGATGGTGGCTGCACCAGGATGCTGTTCTTCCCCCGGCCGCCAATTCATTCCCTCCACCCACAATCCCTTCAGCCGCCCTCAGTCATCCATGGGACAAGACAGCAGCCATCACCATAGAGCCAGACAGCCAAGAGAAACCATCAGCACGGCCACATCCAGAAAGACAGATAATTCAGGGCTGAGGGCAACTTGGAAAGCATCTTAATTAATGTTCTCATAAGACCCAGGATGTGGGCATGCATATGTAAAAGCAAGCTTCCATTTAAAAAGGAGCAATCACGAAAGAGTTCCTGCAAATTAAAGCTGGGTTAGTCTTCCTAAAAAGCTCAATGTTTTAAGAATAAAATATTCCAGCCTGGTCTGTAATCCCACCTGTAATCCCAGCACTCTGACAGGCTGACGCAGGAAGATCACACATTCCAGCCCAGCCTGGGAAACTTAAGTAATACAAAGCAATCCCATCTCAAAAACAAAAAATAAGAAAAGGGTTTGCGGGGGGGAGGTGCTGGGGATTTAGGTCAGCGGCACAGCACCTGCCTGGCAAGTGCGAGGTCGTGAGTTTGATTCCTGCTATCGGAAAAAAACCAAAACTAAAAAAAAAAGAGTTTGGGATGTAGTTCAGTTCAACAACCCTGGGTTTAAACCCCAGTACTTGGGGCTGGGGATTTAGCTCAGTGGCAAAAGCGCCTGCCTCGCAAGCGCAAGGTCGTGAGTTTGGTTCCCAGTACCGGAGAAAAACCAAAACCAAAAAAAAAAATAAAATAAAATAAACCCCAGTACTGAAAACAAAGAAGATACTCCCTAATCCAATAAAATATTAAGTATGAAAATGTTAATCTTTAATCTGGATAATAAAATGGAAATATGTTCCACTCATTAAAATGATTATTTATGTAAGAAAATAAAAGCCATCCTACAAACTTCGATAAGAATCTCTCTCTCTCTCCCCACCCAACCTACTCTCTCCCTCACTCCCATCATATACATATATAAAAAGACTCAGACCCCAAATATAGAGAGCTTCTATAACTCAAAAAAAAAAAAATGTGAACAAATACTTTACCAAAAAAGATACAGAAATGGTCAATAGCACTTGAACTGGAAAATGCTGATTAGGACCACCCAAAGTACATTCTCTCCTCTCTCTCTCTCTGTCTCTCTCTCTGTCTCTCTCTCTGTCTGTCTGTCTCTCTCTCTCTCTCTCTCTCTCTCTTTCTCTCTTTCTCTCTCAGGGGCCAGATTTAAATCTGAAAGCCTGATCATTGTTGCTCCTGGGACAAACCTTGGTGGGATCACATCCGCCCTCCATCCAGACATTCCCCTCCTGGAGAGCCACACAAGTGAAAGAAAACGTAAGTCTACAAAGGATAGCACATGGAGGAAGTGCATAGCATCTCCCTTCGCCACGGTCCCATCTGGAAGTAACTAAAACATGTACAGCCAGGTGAACGAAAACCAGGCTGTGGTACAACCATCACAGAGGAATATGGCTCAGCAGCAAAAGGGAAACTCCTGATTCCCCCAACACTATGGGTGAATCCTAAAAGCATCAAGCTGAACAAAAGAAGTCAGACCATGTGGTACAATCCCATTTTGATGAGAAACTCCAGAAAAGACAGCACTACAAGCGGTCTCCATTAGAACAGCACAGCCTCTGCGGTAGGCATCAGCAGGAACTGAGAGACCAGGGGGGCAAAGGAATGTTCTACACCTTTGTAGAACATGCTACAGAGCTTGTGGACTGTCCCTATATGCATCTGTCAAAGTCTGTCAGCTAGTATATTTCAGGTATGTTTCACTGTACTTAAATTACACTTCAATTTTGAAAAAAAAAAAAAAAAAATCCAAAGACCAAATTAGAAGGAGAAGTAGAAGAAAAATGAGAAAAAAACATTAAGAGACATGAACGAACCATCTGGAAACCAGGCAACTATGAAACAAGAATCCTAACACCGGACATCATAAAGGATAAATAGACAGTGAAATAGCTTTTTTCCTGAACTGAAAGAAAATAATTTAGGATAAAAGGGCTAGGTCAGAGTAAATGAAAAATGATCTATCTCTAGCTCTGTTCCTGGAAATTTCAGACTCCTGAGTCATGACAGCAAGTCCTATCTGCAAAGGAGCAACCCAGGCCGGCTGCAAGGCTCATCCATGAGCAGCATCCTCAAGGGGCAGACCTAGAATCCTATATCCAGCCAAACATATACCCTGCCAGGTGTTAATTCATTAATTAATCTACTCAGACCCCCTTTCCTACATGCAAGGACTCAGAGTTCAATTCCCACATATCCTAGGCGAATCAACCTCCCGGGAGAAGTTTTGCCACAAGACATGGCACAATGCAATGGAAAGAGATGTGGCTGAGCTGATCCTTCTGTCAAGGGGAAGAAGGCAGCTGGGAAAGACATGGGCCATCAGCCAAGTTGGCTAGGCTGGAAAGACTTTCAGGGTAACAACCTTTCATCTACAATTTGGACCTACTCATGGACTCCAGGGGAACCTCACAGCGACACACTCAGTCTAAGTCACTTACACCACAATGTTAGCATCCACCAACAGCAAGGTGTGGAAGGTTTCCTGTGGCTTCACAGAAAGACGTTCATGTCATAAACAACATAACTAACAAAAATGGGAGGCAGAGGAAAGTAACCAGCATTGCTACAATCCTTTTTTTCCCCCAAGTACTGGTAATTAAATCCCAAGGCCTTGGCACAGGCTAGGTAAGTGGTCTACCATCTACCACTAAACTACACCCCAGCACCTACAATCCTCATTTCTAGTCAAGTGCTCCACCACTGAGCTACATCCTTGCCAGTCAATCCTCATTTTTGATGGCCAATACCAGCCAGATTAATCAAACATGAAAGTAAGAAATTGTTAGCCTTTGTCCTCTTGGAGTAGACAGAGAAGGGGAGCGGAGATCTCATTGTATAGCCTATACTGCTAGGCAGTTTTTGGTTTGGTTTGGGTTTTTGAGACAGGGTCTCACTTTGTAGTGCAGGCTGGCCTGCAGCTCACTATGTAGCCCAGGCTGGCCTCAAACTCATGGCAATCTTCCTGCCTCTCAAATCCTCGGATTATAGGTGTATGCCACCAAGCCTGTCTATTTTGTTTTTTGAAACAGTCTCCCTAAATTCCCCAGCTTGACTCGAACTTACAATCTTCCTGCCTCAACCTAAGTGCTAGACTTACAGATGTGTGTGCCACTGTGGATGGCTATCGGGCTGTTTTTATCAACGTAACAAGCTGCTTGGTCATCTGAAGACCAGCATGTCCTACTTTTTTTTTTTTTTTTTTTGGTCTTTTTGAGACAGGGTCTCACTATGGAGTTCAGACTGGCCTTAAGCTCACTTTGTAGCCCAGGCTGGTCTGAAGCTCGCAATGATCCTCCTGCTTCAGCCTCCTGAGTGCTGGGATTATAGGGGTGCACCAACACACCCAGCCAGCACGTCCTCCTCTTAGTACAGTCCTTCACCCCTCACAAGGCCTGTCCAAGTCATCCCCATGCTGGCTCACAGTTCCATGGCCCCACTGGATCCCTGACACGCTGAGGACAGAACCAACCCAGGCACCTGTACGTTGTACACATTGGTGGGGCAAATTCATCAGTTAATCTACTTAGAGAGCCCAGGTCAAAAACAAGGGCAGGAGCAAATCACCCAGTCCCTACCCAACTTCCAAAGCCCACCAGAGCTGTGCAGAGGGACAGGCTCCCAGCCTCTCACCCCCAGGGTTATGCAGACAACTTGTCCCACCTAGACAGGAGCTCCCATCACCCTGCCAGGTCCACATA